TTAAGTAGATGTTAAAACTTAAAAGTTTAAATCTTTGTCTCCTTTACTTTTGGTCCAACAACTACCAAGAGCGCCATTTGGCCTGGTTTGCCTCCGTTGAGTCTTTGACGAGCCACTTTATGGTAATCAAAATTCAACAAGAAAAGAAAGTCCACTAATAATATTTTGGCAACTTTTGGAACAACTTTAATTCATGTCAAAAATAAAGTACGGTTCTAGAAATTTATCGAACTCTTCCAGTTCTATATTATAAATTTAACATATAGTTTTTATACAAGGTCTGTTCTCTTCAGCTTATTATTAGTTCAGTTCCGTTCAATTTCATTCAGTTCACTTCAGTTCCTAATTTTCTTTTCTCATAAAATATTCAGTTCTTTTCAGTCCAGCTCATTTCTAGTAAATCAGAACATGTCTTGTATTGTCTATATGTATTACGTAGTTATATATATATAGTTGGATATGTGGTGATTAGTAGTTAATCCGAAATTGGTAGGTGTGACAAAATCCAAAAAAGAACAAATATATAAGTGGATAAAATTCGTGTGATCACTTGATACGCTACATTAAATTAATGACCTAAAACAAACGCATCCCATTATAAGAGGTCCACGTGTACAAATGTACTATATTACCCTTTAGTTTGCTATTAAACCAACAAATAAGATAAAGGGTAAAATCGTCCTTAAATATAGTTTAAGGCAACTACTTGTCAACTTCCTTTGACTTCAAACTAGGTAACAAAGCTTACATAAATGATAAATGAAGTTGAACTGACGGTAGCATCAACCAAATTGTATTTTTATCATTTTATGTAGAAATTTTGATTACTTGGTCACTTCAATACTTGTCATTTGTCTTTTTAATCAAATTACGTGCACAATTTGTCCTTTTTATTGTTTGATGCCACTACATAAGAGTGAACCTCAATCCACGTAATAACAAACTTGGTTGTATACTACTACAACTTTATTATAGATCAATAGATCATGTATGTGAAGTTGAAATCTTATAAAAAATTATGGTTCATGAAAGTTTGGGGATAAAGCTAAGATAAATATTATTGTGATTGTAGATCAATCAATCAAGTATAAACATTTAGATAATTGATTGAGTAGGTAGTTAAAATTAGTTTTTCTGTTAAATTTCGATCTTTGAGTTATAAGTTGTTTAAGTAATAAAGTTATTTAGTACTTCATATCATATTTTTGCTTTTAGCTAAAATTAGTTTGGCTTTTGATTAATATGCACCTAAATCAAATTCAAAGATGCCATGAACGATATCGTTTCTAAGCCCATCTTTAATAGCAAATTAGATAGTGCAAGCACTTGATTACATGATCCTATATACTAGTGTATGGTCAACAATCCAATATTCTAATGATTTAGACACCATTCATAACTTAATTAATGTTTGCCAAAAAATAAAAAATAAATATAAAATGGTGTCCATTAGAAATTTACAATGTCAACCACAAAGGCACAAGGCTCAATTATTGAGAAATGATATATACACGTATGTAATTAATTATTTCGAAACATACCCGTCAAAAAAAAAAAAATATTTCGAAACATAAATAAAACTTCTAATTCTCTTAATAAGATTTCATAAAAAATCATAGCTATGTATATTCCTACTATAAATGGATCCTTTATTTGTTGTAAGTTGACATACGTGTCTCAACTCTCAACAATTATTAAGGTATTACCCTCTACAAACTAGTTTAATCTCATTGATTAGTAATATACTAATATTTCTTTTTCATCAGTCTAGTACTCTGTATAATAACTTTTTATTTTTTTTATTTTTTTATTATTAAGGAGATCGATGAGCTGTACTAGAGCTAACATCATATTAATATAAGTTATATTTTGAATCAAGTTTGATTTCTCTATTATAACAAACAAATTAAATTAACTAAATTAATTATCAAACAACACATATTACTTTCTTGAAAGGTGAATTAAAGCATGGAATGCGTTCCATGCACTCCGCGTACCTTGCAAGAAAGAAGTTAAGTTGCTTTTTCACTAGCCTTTCAAAAATTCCACAACCCATCCTCAACAGTACAATTCATGCAAGATTTACATTTTTATTTTTTATTTTTTAAGATAAGATACTCGTAGAACAAAAAACTCATTTCATTTGGGATCAATCGCAATCAGCTTGAAACATATATTAAGTAAAATAGTAGAGTGAGAACTAACAAGGATATTTTATAATATAAAGCAAGTATATATAATTAGTGATGATATAATACGTATTTAATTAGTAGTTTGAGGGATATAAAGTATAAACACTAAAAATATAAAATAATGCAAGAGGGATTATTGAGAGATATAATTGACGCTGTACGTAAAAAGAAGTAGTGCAATGGGATTAGAAAGAGAGATGTATAGTACGAGTATCACTTTATTTACCAAATTAAATTATAAAGTGTTAGGCCATGTTCTCTTCACTTTAAAAAAATAATATTAAGTAATAATAATTTAAGTTCAATAAAAATAAGTTCAGTTCAGTAAAATTAATTTTAGTTCAGTAAAAATAATTTTAGTTCAGTAAAAATAAGTTCAGTTCGGCAAAATTCTGTTTTATTAAAGAAGAATTATTATAGAAAATCAGCAAAAATAATTTCAGTTCAGTAAAATTAATTTAAGTTCAATAAAATTAATTTAAGTTCAGTAACAATAATTTCAGTTCAACAAAATTAAGGTGAAGAAAATGAGCCTTACAATTAAATAAAAAGTTGATTTAAAAAAAAAAATACAAGTATTCCTATTAATAACCTAAGACGGAGGAAGTATGGGTTAAACTCTGCCTATGTTGATTCGGCCAAGTTTCTAATTCAAGTCACATTCTCACCTAAACATATGGTGAAGATTGAAGAATATATGATGAATATTTGATTTTTCAAAAGTTAAGTCAACTCATGCATACACATTGAAATTAAGCCGTGGTATTGGACCAAGTATTTATTGAATATTGAATTCCCATTTGGGATTGAAATTATAGAAAAAAACAAAAGGCTACATTCCACCGGCAAAAAACTAAATACAAAATAATTCAAATCACCCAGCTAACTATATCTATATTTTGATTATTTGTTTTTCTTTATGACAATTGATGGTTACAAAACTAAAAAATAAAAATCTAAAGCAAAGATGACAGACAAATTATATAGTACTCGTAGTATATGATTAATATTTATTTTTCCAAAAATATAAATTATGATATAATTTGACTTGCCTCATTGGATTTTCAAACTACACTATTTTCATGCTATAAACTCCATCAATGACAATTGACAATTGATGAATTACTGCACAATTGTAGTTTGCACTGCACCTACGTACCCCCAAACTTTTAATGATATTATTATTATTATTGAAAAAAATTAATTATTGAAAAAAAAAAAGTTGGGATTTTTTTTTTTACACGAAATAGTTTTGATAAGCTATAGATGCTTGAAGCACATGACAATTTTTTTGCTCTTCAATTGTCGAGTTACAATTATACTTACAATAAAAATTGCAATAAATCCTTGATTTTTACAATCAATAAAATTATTATAAAAGGTGTTAAAGTTAAGTCATAAGCACAAATTCATTATATATTGGGATTATATTTCAGCATATCATCTATCACAACAATTAGTTTATTTTAAGTATAAGGTACTTGTTATGAGTTTAAACTATTGATGATCATTTTTTCTAAGTTTAAAACCTACAAAATTATCTAGTACCGTAGGTAATTCAAATTGAAAAGTGAGTTAGTGAATGACATATTATTATGTGATTGTAGGTAGTCAATAATATGTTTTTGAATTTTTAAAAAATGTTTTAGCTATACATTTTTTAAGGAAAGAACTTTTAAACAAGTGTATAAGTGTATTTTACGACAACACGTGTATAAAATAGTGTATTGTAAATGATAGGTTACCAAGCAATACTTGGTTCATCAAATAATACTAAAATTGTAGCCATCAATCTTCATTTGGGACAACTGAGGATTGAGATTCATTTACATACTTTTTTGTCTACTCCCAAAGAGTCTTATTTGCTAAACTATGTCAGGTAATTAAACATGTGATATTACTTCCTTTGTTTCAAAATAATTCACACAATTAAACTTTGCATACATGATAATGCACTGATTTGACCTTACTTTAATATCATTAAATCTTAATCATAACTAAAAAAAAAGTTATATTATGATACTTTATATTTATACCTAAAACAACATATTTTTTGATATAGATAAAAATCAATCATCAATTAACAACTATCTAACAAATACTTTATATCAATACGTATCTAACAACATTGACTTATTACGGAGTATTTTTCATTTCATATGAACACGAAATGGAAAGATAAAAAGAATAGAGATAAAATTTATTTATTTATTATCATTATTGTTACATATGGAGTAGCTTTTAGATTATGCGGTAAAATGGGTAAATATTATAATTTCAAAAATTTACGTGAATAATACAAAGTCAACCACAAATTTATATATGTGGATAGCCACATGCCACATCGTGTGATCGGATTACTTATTCAGGGGTTATTTGATTGGTTAAGAGTTATTTGGTTGGTCCGATGTTACTCGGTCAAGGCTATTCTACCATATTGTTCTCGATAGAAAGAAAATGGTCCTATGTGCTCAATTGATCAAGGTTTACTCGATAAGTGTTTTGGTGTGTGCCAGTCGGCAACACATAATTCATGCTAAAAGTCAATACATTATTCCGTATTTTTTTTGTTGTATAAAAATATACTCGTACTTTGTACTCCATAGAAAAAATATACGTAATCCGTATATAAATACAAAATAAAAAGACATTTAAAAAAGCAAGTTCCACATCCGCCAAACTCACCAAAAAGAAAGGGGAAAGGGTGGTCGACATATTCTTAACGACGTTACACACACCCCTCACTGTACCAACTACAAATCAATCACTGAGAGTATAAAACAAGTTAACAAATAACAATAAAAAGCATCATTTTAACTCCGTTTATTTTCAACCGTCAAAAACGACCTCTCTTTCTCTTATACCCAAAAACCATAAACTAGAATCAGAATCTCTCTCCTCTCTCTTCTGTGGCGCCTTCTCACTTGCAGTTTCTTAAGGTAATTTCTCCATTTTCATTTTTTTTTATTAATTTTGATGTATAATTTTTGATTTTATTCTATTTTTTTTTTTAAAAAAAAATAGTGTAAGAAATTAAGTTATTAGTAATGATATTGTTTGATTTGATGAGCGTGATTTTTGGTAACTAAATCTTGCGATTATTTAGTTGTTTTATATTGCTGGATTTTTAATTTTAATTTTGGGGTATTTTATCATCTGAATCGTGGAATTTTGAATAGATTTTTTCTTCTTCTGACTGTTCAATTTTTTTGCTTTTATGGTTAATCGCCATTATTTTCGGATCTTCTGACCTCTGTATATATTTTTTTTTTCTTCTGAATTTTCATGATTTTCCCACTACTTTTTGGGGGTTTAATAAATATTTAATTTAATTAATAAAACTAATTAATTTTTGATACTATTTATTTCTGACTATACTCTTCATATTCATAACATCATTTGCTCTACTTCCTGCTTCACTCTTCAAGGTTTTAAATTATTATTATTTTTATTTATTTTTAGTTTAATAATTTTCTTTTATTTTTGAGATTGTTGTATTGAGTTTGATCAAATTTTGTAATTTTTTCGAGCTTCAATTGGGGATGTTTAATGTTTACTTAGGTGGTGTTTTGAATGAGAGGAAATGTTTGTTGAGTATATGATTTGATAAAACCTTTGGTAATGGGTAGCCAGGAAAGGCATTTAGACGGGATTTGATCCGAGGTCTTAGAAATTAACTCGCTAGACTTTAACCAACTAAACAAATTAGCATTGACTTACATTTTGGATTTTGATTGTAGGGTTCCTTCTTTTTTCGTATTCTTCTCTGAATCTAAGACTCGTGATTACGATGTTGAGATTTGATGGTTGTTTCTGATGGCTATTTTTTTTGTTTTTTTTTAATTTCATAATGTATACTGTATGAAATGTCACTTTGTTATTCAGAACTTGCATATGTTGTTGCTACTACGGAATATCATTCATTCTTATTAGCTTCGTTTATAATGTTTGTGATCTCGGGATTGTTGTGTTTGGGTACAAACCAATTTGGAACTCTCATAGTTGTTTGAACTTTGGGTATGAGCCAATTCTGGATCAATTGTATTGCATCAATTGGGTATTTAGGTGTGAAATTTTTGGTAGATTGAGTAATATCTTAGTTGAGTAAATGTATTTTTCAATATGCTACTGATGGTTGTCTTTGTTTATTAATTAGTGTGCCCCTCTTTTCCAGAATTTTTTTTGGTCTTTTGGAATATATGTGATTGGTTCTGTTGGCGCTATATGTGGTCAAGGGGCAAACTTCTTTGATTGCTAGCAGCTGAAAATTGGAACTGGTGTATGAGCAAATATGGGAGCTGCTTGTTGCGTTGCTTCTAGAGACAAAGCCATACAACCAGGATCTAGTGGTGAATTTCTGCATAGAAATTTTAGGCATTCTCCAACTTGGAGTTTTCGATGGGATAGTCGAGTTGGGGTAGCTGGTGAAGATACTTCCGTAGGCTGGTTGTCTGATGTTGCTAGTAGGAATGATGGCTTGGATGTGAAATCTGCAACTGATGTGTCAGCACAGGTGTCAGATGGAGGTAGTTCATTGGAGAGTTATCGAACAGGAGCATGGCGCAAATCTCCAGTGAACCAGGATACGACTAAGAGCCTAAAAACATCTGCCTCAGGTAAAGACTTCTTGGTCTGCCTTGCATTATAATATTTCTTATTTGATTTGACTGTGCAAAATTTATCTAGACTTGGTTAGATATTGGAATATCATGGTTAGTCTTTTCATTTTCTGTTTTTGATGTCTTTATTCTAAGAACTGGTTTCTGTTGTCACTTATCAGAATGATGCTTATCAATTTGGCCCCATCCCTTTTTTCTGTTATAAAGAGATGTGAAGGGTTTGAGGTTATTGCTAAAGCTATTGCAATAAAAAAAAATAGGAGTGAAGGAAAAGGGATATAGAAAATAAAAGAACAGCTTGACGGATAAACAAATTAGGTTATCCTTTTCAATCTTGATTGCACTTGGATTGTATGTACTTGTCCTTTTAAGCACACAGCTAAAGTACTGTAGCATGGTCGTGGTTGTGGTCAGTTTATTGTTATTGCTGAAAAGAGTTTTAGCTCATTGCATTTCCTGTTCAAGTCCAGAGAGATGCAAATACTTGTTTTTAAAGGCAAATAGGGGTTACCAAGTCATTTCTTTTTTTTGAATGTGGGGTAAATTATTGCGTCTTCACTCACTAAGTTCACTACTCTCTATAGTTTTGCTTCTGGATCTCACTATAGTTATGCAGTTGACCTCCATAGTGAAGTAGCTGCTGCTGGCCTCTCTATATGTTGATCTTGATTGCCTGTCTCGAATCTCTGTAAAAGCAATTCGGTTTTTGTAGTCGAGTTTGAGTAACGTATCATTTGGTTTTTTTTTTATTTTTTTTATTTTATTTTATTTCCTGTGATTTAATTCTTGTCATGATACTGGTAGATTGCTTAGAGGATCAGAAGTAAAGCTACTATTAAAAATGTAAGATTCACCCTGGGAAATTATTGAGTTTATTCTTGTTGCTTAAATGACTGTTTATGCTTTACCAATATAAATGTGGATTGGTAGCTAGTTTTCAGTGTATCCTGTTAAGATCTTAAATTATTATTGCACTACATTTTTCAAGATATCTGTTATCTTCAACTCCATAGTTGTCAGTCAACTCCTTACTCCATAGTTGTCAGTTATATTGGTTACTAATATAATTGAAAATGTAAATCTAAGTGGAGTTTTGCTTTCATATATGGCAGGTGAATCTGCTGGGAGGAATGCCTGTACTGAGGTATATAGGGAAACTTTTGTGGTTTCTAGATACGTACTTTTGTTTCTCACTATGCAGTGCTCTAATAATTTGTCTTTCCAATATTTCGTAATTTGATTTATTTAGGTGAAACAATCTACAGAATCTCCACCGTTATCAGACCCTGCTTCTGTTAAACTATCACCCTCAGTTCATACAACATCTTCTGTATGCATGTCACCAGTCTCATCCCAAAGCCATCCACCTCCACCATCACCAACCCCATCCAGATGGGCCCGAGGTTCGCCAGCTCACGAGCTTGCCCATCAGGCATCTGAAAGCCATAGTTCTGGGAGAAATTCACCGAGTAATAACTCTGTTTCTGAAGAAGGGCAGGTGCCATTTGGAAACTCTGCTGTAAGCAATGTGTCAACTCGGGGATCCTATGGAAGGTCCTCTGATGGTTGGTCAGCTCATGCCTTCTCAGAACTTATGTCGGCCTCACAGAGAGAACGTTGGTCTTTTGATAGTGATTCCTGCAGCTTTCCTCATGATAAATTGTGTAAAACAAGTGTTCGTAATTCCCGGTCAATCTCTATTGATTTTCAAACATGTGGTATTTGCTCCAAGCTCTTGTCTGAGAAGTCACCTTGGAGCACCCAAAAATTTATTGCGGGTAATGAATTATCTGTTGTAGCTGTTTTAATATGTGAGCATGTATACCATGCTGAGTGCTTGGAGACCATAACGCCCGAAGTTAATAAATATGATCCTGCCTGCCCGGTTTGTACATTTGGGGAGAAGCAAACTTTGAAATTAGCTGGGAAAATGCTGAAGGCAGAAAAGGATTTGAAAGCTAGGAGTAGCAAGAAGTCAAGGAATCGGGTTGTAGATACCAATGCCTCTTTTGATTTTGATTCTTGGAAGAGAAGTGCTGGTGCACATGAAGGGAAGAGTCCCAAGCTTGGCAACAGCTCTAGCTTGAAGATTTCTGCCGCAAAGCCTTTTTTAAAGCGGCATTTCTCCTTTGGATCAAGGGGCAACAAGTCTGCTTCGGAAAGCCCATCAATAAGGAAAAAGGGATTGTTTTGGGCTAAGTCTAGCAGGGAATAAGCCTTGCAGCTTGGTTTGAAAGATCGGAGGTTAGTGCTCCTATCCATAACAAATTATGTTTGCTTAAAGATTTGCAACTATGTGGAAGTAATGATACCTTCATCTCAAAGATTGATTGAAATTACAATCTAAAGTCAGGAAATTTCAAAACACCTCTATGCATGCCAGAAATATGTAAAAATACCTGAGATTTGAGCCGTTTTTGCCCATTTTTTGAGGCCACCAATTTAAAGTTGGTACAACCGGGTGTGCAAAAAATTGTTATGATGGGGGTATCACTCATATAATGGTACTTGAGCTTCTTTTTAATGTGTCATGTTATGTGGTTTAGTCTGGAAGGTAGATTTAAAGCTTACGTTTAATCTTCACTTCCAACATTGATTAAACTTCTTTTGCAGGTTCTCTGTGAGTTTGTTACTTGCGTAACATGATGACAAACTTGGTGACACAAAATACAAAGCGGAAGCTGAATATGGCTCGCGTTTTAGGTATCAATTGATTTGATATATCTTCTCTGATATAAAGGGTTTAGTATGGTGATATGACATTGTAAAGAAGGAAATATAGGATATAAAGTATGATAGGAAGTTATAGGTAGGGAAATCAAGTTGGCAGGTGATTTATGAGGGTTTTGATCTTTATTCATGTTATGTACATTTAAATTTGTTTGAAACAAGAATTCAATTATGTTTCAAAAGAAATCGTTCTCTTTTTTACTCGAGTCATATGATAGACTTAGTTGTTATAAATTGTAAAATCCCTACTATGTGAACATGCAACCAAAGGGTGCATATTTTTCAATCAATTGTTCGTCCATCAAGGAACTAGTAGTTAGCCTTAGGGATTTATCCTTAATAGAAATGAACTTAGTAGGGATTTATAACAAATGGTATTAACTATTAAGGATAAAGTTTTACCCTAATATCACTCATTTTTCAATTCTGATTCCAAACTCATACCACATTTTTACAAATGTATAAATGATACTTTGGGCGTAAAATATGCTGATCGTTTATGGTCGTTGAGATTATATTAACAATTTTTTTTTTTTTGAAGATCAACAACGTAGTACAAATAACCAAAAGTTGAACCACAAAGTATAAAAAAGTGTATAAGTAATTAATTTGGGTGTTACTTGTCTTGTTATTGATGTACCCTTAACAGTTGTTATTTAGTTGGGAGATTCTACATCGTTATACAAATGTATAGAAATGCATAACCGTGATGTTTGTGTGGTCAAAGGATGTATACCAACCTCAGAATCCTAAAGTTGATTGTTCATCGCTTGCATTTAAATTAATTTCTACTTTTGTCGACTTTTCGTCCGCCCACTATTACCTATCTTTCTTTAAAAAAAAATAGCATGTGTGTTTTTGGTGGTGTAGTTGCATGAATCAAGCAAAAGCAACAATTGCATGAATCTACAATGTTGCAATTTTACTTTTTAGAAAAATTTCTAACTAAAGTATACAATTTCTTACTTAATTAGCTATGTAAGGACTGAAGAGTAGTAAACGTTAGAAAATATCTAAAATTTTAGTATAACTGAATTTAATTTTTTTTTTTTTTTTTTTTTTTTTTTTTTTTTTTCAACAACAAAAGAACCTACATAGTAATAAACACGTAAGTGAAATTATAATTTCAACATTAATAAATTTCATTGTATTTCTTGATGTTGCTTTGAACTTTATTAAATAAAGGAAATACAATCTTTTAAGAGGCTTAGTTCAAAAGAGTGTTCTTGTCACTTGAATTTTAATTCTCTTATCTTATTTGTTTTAAAACATTCTTAAACTAAGGGGAACATATCCTAAAAAAGTGTAACTCCATATCATAATATGCATTATACACGGTTCCTTAACAATATCTCTTAACTTGGAAATTAACTCTTTCCCCTGCAAGTTATCTATTGAAAAGTGCAATTTTTTTCATTAAAATAAGCAAAATTAGGCTTATCTCAAAACTATTTTTCATACATTTGTTAATTTAATAACAAGCTTAGTTTTGCTTTACTAATCTAATTTATACAAAATTACAATTAAGTCGTTCTACCAATAAAATAAAATAAAATAGTAATTAAAGGTCTGTTCTCTTACGTTGAAATTCAGTTCAGTTCAATTCAGTTCAGCTCCTAATTTCCTTCTCTTATAAAATATTCAATTCAGTTAGTTCAGTTCAGTTCAGTTTAGCTCAGCTCAGCTCAATTCAGTTCAATTCAATTGAGTTGAGTTTAGTCAATGAGAACAAGCCCTAAGTTTATGCATCAATAATAATTTATGGATACTGTGTACATAATTTAAGGTAATAAGTATAAGTAAGATAACTTTAAACAAAAATGAGCATAGAATTAACAAATTTAAACAAGATAAATAAGCAAAATATTCTTTTACAAGTGAATCATGCACATAATACATCCAAATGTAAAATACAAGTAGGCCATTGTTCTTTTGAACTTCTGATACATCCAAATATAAAATACAAGTAGGTCACTGTTCTTTTGAACTTCTGGGCAAAGTAGAACAGCTTTTAATACGACATAACAAATTTCAAAACATCAGAGCAGAATAGAATAGGGTCGTAGTAGTATTTGTAGCGGCGGTAGAGCTTACCCGTAAACATCCCAACTCAAGAGTCATCAGCCAACTGAAAACATCCGTAGCACGTGTTAACCTTGCACTAAGACACTAATCAATCATATAATTACAAACGTGGAGGCACCTCACAATATCTATCAAACACGTGTTTAATCTCTTCTCTAAACCATCCACAAAGCTCCACTACTCTATTTGTTCCATGCAATTTGTCTATATCTCTATCACCTCATTCATCATATTGTTATCCTCTTTCTAAATTAAAATCTATCATTATCCAAAGTTTGAACCAAGTTAAAAAAAAAAAAAAAAAAAAAAAAAGTTACTTGAAGTGTAAGAAAAATCATATAGGAAAAAAATGTGTTTTTGTTAGGAGAAGATGGCATATCAACAACATTTGAGGGATGAGCATGGTAATCCGGTTGAGCTAACGGATGAGCAAGGTCATCCGGTTAAGCTTACTGATGAACATGGACATCCCATTCATCTAACCGGCGTTGCGTATACTGATGAAGATGGCAACCCTGTGGACGCCCGTGGGTTGCACTCTACTGCGACTCATGGTGGCGTGGAACATGACAATCTCATGGGTAGTCTCATGGGCGCCCGCTGGGCTGCCCCTCATGGTGGTGGCGTGGGACACGACAATCTCATGGGTACCCATGGGACGCACTCTACTACGACTACGACTCATGGTGGCGTGGGACATGACAATGTCAATAAGACTCATAGTGGTGGTGTTGGTGGCGTGGGACATGACAATCTCATGGGTACCCACGGCGTAGGGCTTATAGGCACCCATGGGATGCAGTCTTCTACGACTCATACTGGCGTGGGACATGATAGCTCCACAGGCACCCGCGGGTTGACTCATGGTGGCGTGGGACATGACAGCTCTACGGATACCCATGGGACGCACTCTTCTGCCACTCGTGATGCCGTGTTACCAAAAAACCCCTTGACTACTGGGATGCAATCTTCGACTATTGGTGGCGCGGCTCATGGAACTCATGGAGGTTCCATGACAACCGGGATGCCGTCCGCGACTCTTAGTGGCGGCATGCAGGGTCATAATGAGCCCGGACACCGCGGCCCTGGGACGCTAGGAGATGTTTTGGGAGGCGGGCAGCACCAGCCGAGGAGAGATCAGCCAGGAGGGACTGCTGTTGGTATTGTTACTAAAGAGATTCGACGAAGTGGCACTAGCTCCGGTGAATCGGTTAGTATATATTTTTAGTAACTTCATGCAATCTATCGTTTATTTCATGAATATTGCAAAAATGTCTCTTCATGTTTGATAAATAACTGCATACAATTTGTTAAAATAAAATGTGTAAACTAACTTTTTTGTTATTGTGTTCTCCCTTTATAATTACATGCGTATATATAAATTTGATACATGTACAAATGTAATAGCCTAATAGGATTCATACGATGATATTTCGATGTACATGTTTATGAGTGACAATATTTTGTCAAAGAAATTTAAACTTTGACCTAAAAATAAGTAACCATTTTTCTAAGGCAGATAATAGTCATAATACACCGTATCAAACAAGGCTTTGGAGCTTCCATACTAAAACTAGGCAATAGTAGGAGTAACTCCTCTACCTTAAAAAGTGGAACCATTTCTCCTCTTTCTCCAATGTGGGACACTCACAAGTGGGCTATGATGGGGTTCAACAAGTCCAAAAATCGGATATACAATAATATTTACTCAATTGTTGAATTTTATTTAATTAATCTCAATGCAATACATAATTTTCTTTGTTGAATATGCTATAGTCCGAGGAAGAAGGACATACACCCACGGGTGGGGGAAGGAAGAAGAAAGGATTCGGGGAGAAAATCAAGGATAAGTTAATGCCGGGTGGTAAGCACAAGGATCAGGACGTAGACCATACCGCGACAACTACCATGGCCACAACCACCACTACCACTATCCAGCACCACGAGGACGAGCCTGCTGAGAAGAAAGGTCTAATGGAAAAGATTAAGGATAAGTTGCCTGGTCACCACTAGATAGTTATAGAGTTCGGTTTTTCATTTTCGTTATAGCTTTTGCCAATTTGTACCTTTGGGTGTGAACTCATTACTCATGTAAAGGCCAGAGTTTAAGGCTTTTGTTGTATGTTGAATAATCTATGTGCATCTACTAGTATGCGAAGGGTTAGTTTGTGCTTTTAGATGTTGAGATGTAATTTTCTTTTGTTTGTTTTTAGGGTTTTTGAATGTGTGAAACTTTTCATTTAAAGAGTGTTTTGAACTTTCAATTGTCTAAGATGATGAATGTACCTTTAATTTCTTAAGCCATGTTTTACCTATTTTGTTGGTGTTTATTTTGAGAAAATACAAGTTGATATCTTATATTAACAAAACTGCTTAATATCAAGACTAATTTTGTAAATTCACCAAAGTTAATATTGTAAATTCAACAACCACACCTCCTTTTTCTCCCCACACCACCTGCCGCTCACCAACCGTCACCAGTTGACCCCAATCGATCAAGCACCACCATTTGATCTTTGCAACACCACGAGTACGAACGAATCCCACCACCATTAGATCTTCTTAACACCACGAGTACGAACGAATCCCTTTCCCTAAGGGCTTTGTATGGACCCGATTTTAATAATTTTCTACTAGGGTGTTTATTATACCGGACGACCGCTTTTAATTTGTGAAGGTGGTCAATCTTGGGCATAACCATGGGAATGGAGGAGAGAGAAGGAAAAATTAGCCATGCGAGGGGAGGAGAGAGAAAATTTGATGATATTAACATGTTTTATTTGGGTCTATTCTCATTTACAAAGTTAAACTGAATTGAATATTTTATGAGAGAAGGAAATTAGGAACTGAACTGAAGTGAAAATAAGCTGGAGAGAACAGACCCTTAATATAAGTTAACCCGGTTTTCCTCGTTTATTTTCATGAACAGATGACCTTGCACAATTAGTCAATGCATGATTTTAGCAATCTTTTGTGGCGAAGCTAGTGATGTTGGTCGATAGGCTAATAGCTTGACACAAACTTGGTACCCTGCCATACTTGCATCAACAAAAAACTAGTTCACTTTAGCTAGGTTCTAACCATCCAAACAAAAAGGTGTCCTTTTTTTTTTTTTTTTTTTTTTTTTTTTTTTTTTTTTTTAAGGGAACCTCATCCAATAATCCAAAACTTATTAGACTCCAACTAATTCAAATGTGAGCCGAATCAAGTTTCTCAACAAAATCTCCTTTGTTTCCTAGTCTCAATCCTACGCATCGTGTAATTATGTTGATCAAATTACAACAACTCTCTTAACAGCCGATCAACCTCCATGACCAATGAAGTGCATACACTAGGGGTGGGACTTCGGTCTGGCAGTTCGGTTTGACCTCGGTTTGAGTCGGTTTCGGTTTGGAGCGGTTCGGATTGAAACGGTTTAGTTTAGCTGGCGGGTCGGTTTGGTTCGGTTTGGGTTAGTCACGGCTCGGTTTGGTTTCGGTTTATTTTTTTGCGGTTTAAATTCGGTTTGGGTCATAAGCGGGTCGGTTTATAAACGATTCGGATTATGTCGGTTTGGTTTGATACGGGTCGGTTTAAGGGGCGGGTTTACCCGGGTCAATGTCAGTTCGGTTTACAAACGGTTTGGATCAAGCCGGTTTGGTTTGAAATGGGTCGGTTTAGGGGCGGATTTACCCGGGTCAATATCGGTTCGGTTTATAAACGGTGCGAATCATGTCGGTTCAGTTTGAAATGGGCCGGTTTAGTAGAGGGTTTACACAGTTCAATTGGTTCGGTTTATGAACGGTTTGGATCATGTCGGTTCGGTTTATAAGCGGTTTGGGTCATGAATTGAATTCATGATTGTTTTAAAGATCGCGTCATGACCATGATTTAATGAGTTGATACTTATAATACGATAAATCGATAATTAAGAATGTACAAATATTCAATTAGATTGATCAACAAGTGTTTTAAACTTTTAAGTTTTAATAATCAGATATGTAAATATGTTTATCGATTGTAGATTTGTAGTACATACCAATAATTCAATGAGGCAATGATACTTATGATAGTATGATAATGATACCAACCATACATTCGTGCGATATGATATACATAATAATTAATCTATAATTACACATACATTAACAATATCGTATTGAATCAATTTCCATTTCCAAACATTGCATTTCTTATAAATTATAACTTACACGAGATTAAATGGATTCGTTATTTAGTTTGTTACTTTATTTAAATTACTAACTCAAACAACTTAATAAGTTAAATGGACGAAATCACGAAATCATGACCATGATTTAATGAGTTGATACTTATAATACGATAAATCGATAATTAAGAATGTACAAGTATTCAATTAGATTGATCAACAAGTGTTTTAAACTTTTAAGTTTTAATGATCAGATATGTAAATAACTAAATATGTTTATCGATTATAGTACATACCAATAATTCAATGAGGCAATGATACTTATGATAGTATGATAATGATACCAACCGTACATTCGTACGATATGATATACATCATATACATAATAATATAATTACATATACATTAACAATATCGTATTGAATCAATTTCCATTTCCAAACATTGCATTTCTTATAAATTATAACTTACACGAGATTAAATGGATTCGTTATTTAGTTTGTTACTTAATTTAGATTACTAACTCAAACAACTTAATAAGTTAAATGGACGAAATCACGAAATCACTAATTAAAGTGGTGATGAAAGCATTATGCAATACTAATGTACGAATAGTCAAATATACAACGGTTAGATTGAATGCCCATGAAAAACAATGGTTAGATTTTCATTACTTTATTAGTTATTAGTATTATTACTTATTAAGTTATTATTAGTTTTATAGTTTATTATATATACTGATATACAATCACAGACTCACAGATGTCAGATATTGTCATATTGATGAGCATTAAGCCATTAACTCATTAAGTCATTAACTATGTCGTATTGAATCAATTTCAATTTTGAAACATTTGCGTTTCTTACAATTTATAACTTATAATAATAATAATAATAATAATAATAATAATAATAGTAATAATAATAATAATAATTATAATAATATTATAATAATAGTAGTAGTAAACTAGTAATAATAATAATATTAACAAATAATTATACTAACAATAATAATAATAATAATAAATAAATAATTAAAAAAAACGGTCAAAAAGACCTAGAAAAGCACAAAGAAAATCTAGACCGTTAGATCTAGATGAATATTCTAGAATCTACAAAAAAAAAAAAAATGAACGGTTAGATCTAACTTGGATGTTGAGATTGAATATGGACGGTTAGATCAACTGAAGTAAAACCTAAACCTAGAAAAAAAAACCCACTCTCACTCTCTCAGCCATTCTCATTCACTCATTCAGCCGTTTCTCTCTCAATCTCACAATCTGTCATAGTTTCTCTCTCTAACTTCTCAGTTTCTCACTCTTTCGTTCTGAAATTCTCAAGAATCTCAAGCTCAATTTCGTTTCATTTGTGTTTTGGATCTACATTTCTGATTTCTAGCTTTACATTCTCGTTTTTTTGTTAATTTTTGTTGTTTTCGTTTTGATTTTTTTCGTTTTTGTTCCCGTTTGTTTATTTAGGGTTTTTGTTTTCGTTTCATTTGTGTTTTGGATCTACATTTCTGATTTCTCGCTTTACATTCTCGTTTTTTTGTTAATTTTTGTTGTTTTCGTTTTGATTTTTTTCATTTTTGTTTCGGTTTGTTTATTTAGGGTTTTTGTTTTCGTTTCATTTTTGTTTTGGATCTAAGTTCTGATTTCTGATTTCTGATTTCTGATTTGAAATCTTCCTCTCCTTCAAGCCGTCAAACCCTAAGGTAATTTTTTTGTTAATTTATTCGATTTTTTTCGTTTTCGTTTAGGTTTTTTTTTTTTTTTTTTATTTCAAGTTCTGATAATCTACATTCTTGATTTTTTCTTTTGATCTCCAGTTCAGGTAGTTCTCCATCTTCAAATCTCCTTCAAGCCGTCAAAGGTAATTACTTTTTCCTTTTTGTTTTTTTTTAATACAGTTTTTCTGTTTTTGTATTTGATTATTGTTGTTGTTCTTGCTTGAATATAGTCGAAATATGCCTAAAATGAGTAAAATCTGTTGTTGATTGTATTTTTGTTTTTTAAGGGAAAATGGTAGATTTGTGCTGTTTTGTTGTTTATTATGCTCGATTTAAAAGTAATGATGATGGGTTGTTCAGATTATGTGATTATTATTGTTGGAATACATGCATTGTTTATTTATTGGGATTTTAGCTTTATATTTTTAACCCATATTGTTGGAATACAAGCATTGTATATGATTGGCTTAAAGTTAGTACTTAAAATGTACACATATGTGACTGTATCGTATATAACTTTCTATATTCTGTTAGGATATATGTTGTAATCACGTTTGTTGTATAATTCTGAATTTTGAAACATTGACTAGTGCAAATAAAATTCTGAAATATGAACTATCTATTTAGTTGAATTTTGGTATTGAGTGAATAGGATTCACTGTCGTGACTTCAGTGTCGGTCACATGAGACAATGCATGCTTAATTGCTCACTATTAGTAGAATCTGTCACTTAATTTGGTACTTATAAGTTATAAATGCTGTTTTTTTTTTGTTTCAGTCATGTCTCGCGAGTATGATGAATTTGACTATGAGAGGCAATCAAATTTTGATACTGTTAGCTCTCAAGCTGCCTCTGTCTCGGTTGATGATGCTAGTCATACCGGCACTATCAATCCTTCTGTTAATAAACGTCAAAGAACCGCAGGTATATGGAAGCATTACACTTTTTTTGTAAAGACGATAGGTAATGAAAATGTAGATTATGATCGTTGTAATTTGTGTAGCAAAGAATATAAAGCACCTGGTAAAGCGGGTACTTCAACTTGTAGAGCTCATATTAATGCATGTTTGGAAAAGCATGGTCTCCAGTCCGGTAACGAATCACAATTTGATCAAAAAACTTATCTACAAAAGTTTGCTAAAGCTATAATCTGCCATGCATATCCTTTAAATATTGTAGAGCATGAATATCTTAGGGAACTTCATGCATATTTGAATCCTAAGGTGCAGCATGTTTGTAGAAAAACTATGTTAAAGTATGTTATTGCTGAGCATGATAAATATAAATCCTTGTTGCTTGAGTCTTTGGCTAATGTTTCTGGTAGAGTTAGCTTTACATGTGACTTGTGGACTGCATGTACTAACCGAGGCTATCTCACTTTGACTGCTCATTATGTTGATAACAGTTTTGGCCATTCCTATTACATCGGTGGCCTCTGAATCTTCTTTTAGTTTGGGTGGTCGTATTTTGAACAAATATAGGGGTAAACTTTTGCCAAAGAATGTTGAGGCATTGGTTACCACCCAAAATTGGTGCCGTGGTTATCAAGCGGATGTTGAGGAAGACGTCCTCCTTATTGGTAAAGAGATTGAAGCCGAAAGTGCTTCATCTGCATAACTGGTATTTGTGTCTCATTGTGGTTTATTTTATCTTGAAAAATCGTTGCCCTTGTCATTTATTTTCAGACTTGTTGGCAGCATTTTTCTAGACTTTTAAAATCGTTGCCCTTGTCATTTATTTTCAGACTTGCTGGCAGCATTTCTTAAGTTTTTGTTAAAATAACCATTGCTCGGTGATGTAAATCTGAGAGCAATTTTAAAAAACAAAAGCTATAATTTTGAAGTTGCTTGAACTTGTTATGAGCTGCTGCCTGCTGGTAGTGCTTTTGCCTTTTGGTTGTTGTCTCTGCTGAGTTGTTATTGCCTATATTGTTGCCTGCATGAGCTGGTTCCTGCCTCCTGCCAGCTTGAGGTGCTGTGTTGCTGCCTTTTGTGTTATGAATTTATGATAAGTTTTGTTGCTGCTGTTTCTTATGCTTGCTGTTTTAATTTTTCTTGAATCATCGTTGCCCTTGTCATTTATGTTGAGACTTCAATGTATATGTACTTGCTGGCAGCATTTTTCAAGTTTTAAGTTAAAACAGCCATTGCTCAGTGATGATACGATAAACGTAAATCTGAGAGCAATTTTGAAAAACAAAAATAAGTTCCTGCTGAGTCCCTTCTGCTTATATTATTCCTTGCTTCGGATAAGTTGTTGATCTGTTATTGCGTGTGCTGGTTCCTGCTTGTTGCTGCTATTTCCTCTGCTCTTGGGTGCTGGGCTGCTGCTTCAAGATTCTGCTCCCAAATCACTCACATTCTCACTCCTCCCTTCATCTTATCATGTATCATGAATCGGTTCGGTTTATACGTGCGGTTTAAACGGTTTCGGTTCATAAACGGGTCGGTTTAAACGGTTAGCGGGTTACAAATGGTTCGGTTTAAACGGTTTTTTTTTCGGTTTAAACGGTTTCGGTTTATAAACGGTTCGGGTCATTAACGGGTTTATAAACCATTCGGTTCGGTTTCGTTTCGGTTCGGATTTGCGCAGTTTGGTTTGTTATCGGTTTACGGTCCGTAACGGGTTGACATTGAGCGGTTCAATTCGGTTTCGGTTTGATATTGAACGGTTCAGTTCGATTTTCGGTTTACATTTATCGATTTATAAACGGATCAGTCCGTGATGGTTCGGTTCGGTAACGGACGGTTTCACGGTTCGGTTTGAAAAGTCCCACCACTCCATACACTGCAATAGTTTAAAGTAATAAACTAGTTCTCGGTACAAAAATGGGGGACTATCTGCGTAACACTTAACAGAACAAACCCCCCTCATTCACCTACTCACCACTTCAGATTCCCGCCCCTTTTCTCTCTCCTCAGCGCAAATGTACTCCCAAGCTCATCTCCTCTCTCATTCTCCCCCTTTCCTTTCTCTCTCCTCAAATTCCTCCAAATTCATCCCCAATCTTCATCCATTTCAATCGCTCCGTTTCTCTTCCACTTCCTCTCTCTTCACCTCAAGTTTCTCTCTCTCTTCTCGAGCTAACCTCGCTCCGATTTCAATGGAGGCGTCGAATTCGGACTTCTCGAATCATCCGATTGAAGAACTACAACTCGGCTTTGACAATGGTGACCTTGATCGATTCGCTGATGTTGCGAATGAGCTCGCTGATGCTTCCGGCGAAGTCATCCGCGGATTCTTCCGGAAGAAATTCGAGATTCTCGATAAAGACGACTCCAGTAAGTTTCATTTTTCACGATTTTTTCTTCACATTTGAAGTGTTTTACTATGATTTTTTGTTAATTAGGTCAAATTTTAGTTGTTTGATTGTTTCAGTGTGTTTTGATTCATCTTTAGAAATTCAATTTATCATGATGATTATTTTTAACATCACAAATTAGTTCTGTAAGTATTCAAAATTGATTGAGAAAATGCGCTTAACTGATTTATTTTCCTATATTTCTCCATAATTTTTGGCTCAATTTGTTCAATTTTCAGTTGTGTAGCATTTACTACCGTTGATTAATTTGTAGCATTTTGCCGAAAACATGCAGATTCAGTATATACTTATTTTGATGACTGATATAGTTTGAAATATGCGTATTTCTCAATAAATAGTGTAATTACGTGATAAATTCCTAAAATATAAATATTTTATCAATTGTAGTACATTATTTTGGTTGTTTGGATCATCAGCGTCTCATTTTTGCATCTGTATGTTTTATAATTTTATATAATGATGACATTAGTAAGCTATTCCATGATTCGTTCGTCGAAATTCTAGTTGTTTTACTCTTTCTCCTGGCTGCATAATATGCTACTTCTAGTCAGGCTCTCAGTTGTTAGGTTACATGACTGATTTTAACGATTGACAAGTGGAATTTCGAGTTCTAATTCTGCCTTTTGTGTATTCAAGCACTGCTCAATCACTGTTTCGATTATTATTTAGAGATTTTCTTGATTTTGATTTTAATTAAGTAGTTTTATAACTTTTATTTACCGAGTTTTTCTGTGGCTCTGTGTATCATGGTTGTTTACCTGTTTTAGTAAGTTCTGTTATTGTGGAAACGAGTTTGAAAATGTAGCTGAGTCATCGGGCCCTAGGGCTGCTGGAAACTGCATTTTCTGAGAATTTTGTTCATTTATATAACGAATAAGCTGATTGTTGATTTGAGGATGTTTATTATTCTAATAATTTTGTAAAAATTAGAATAATGAAAAGGAATCATTTCGTTTGTTTACCAATCTTGTTTGTTCTGATCAAGACTGACTAGTCATCCAAACTTATAACTTCTATAGGTGTTGACTGTTGAACACTGAGGCAGATCTACACTTGGCCGATTCACTAAGCTTAGGTTGCATCATACTTCTTTTTGTTTCTTTGTTTCTTTGTGGTTTTTGTGGATGTTTTGTCACTTTTTTATATCTTTCCTAATCTAATTGCCAAAATGTGAAAATTACTTGTTTTATCAACAAATCAATCGTGTATTTAGTATTTTAGCACATCATAAATCAATTTTGAAAGAAATTCAATTTTTTTTTGACAAAATATGACGCGAGCTTTTTTTTTTTTATATTTCTACACAATTTTTGGCAAAACATGCTATATTTTCAGCTGTTTGGTTACTTTGGCCAGTCTACAGTCGAGGAAGCTTTCTACCATCAATAAATGTGTACCATTCTTGCTGAAAACATGCTGAAAAAACAACTGATCTAGTTTGAAATTGATTTATGAAGTTTGCATATATCTTAATGAAAAGTGTAGTATATAATACGAAGTATATACTTATTCTATCAGTCTAAGTATTTTTGTTTGATTTTTAGTGTCTCATGTTTGCTGCTTCTGTAGGTAATGCAATTTTGTATAGCGATGGCATTAGTAAGCTCTGTTATGTGCTTTGACATTCAAGTAATTTCACTCTTTCTTTATGGTTGCAGAATTTGCTACTTTTAGTCAAGCTATTAGTTATTAGGCAAGTGGAATTCAAGTAATACATGACTGATTTGAACAATAGGCAAGTGGAATTTGAGTTCTAATTCACCTTTAGTTGCATATATTATGAGTATAAGCACTCCTCAACTTCTGTTTTTGTTGTTAATTTCAAGATTTTATTGATTTGCTTGTAGGTAATTTAATTTTATCACATTTTGTATTTGCTCTGTGTCTCATGTTTGTTTTAGTAAGCTCTGTTATTGTGGAAATGAGTTTGAAATTGTTGCTGAGCCATGAATTTCTGGGGCTGCTGGACACTGCAATCACTGAGACTATTGTTCACACTTATTATGTTTTTGCTGGCTGACTGATAATGAGTATTCTAACGATTTTGTATGCATTAGACTAACGTAAGACGTTTTTAAATAAAAAGAAATTATTGCTTACAAATCTTGTTTGTTCTGATAGAGAATTACTAGTCATCCACACTTCTAACTTCAATTGGTGTTGACTCTTAAAAACTGAAGTACATTTATGCTTAGTTAATTAACACAACATAAGATTTTGCCATGAATTGATGTTCTCAAATTAGCTCTTTTTTGGTTCTTGATGCCAAACTTTTTGTATCTTACGTAGTCTGATTGCGAACATTATGATAATTACTTGTTCAATTAGTATATTTGTTGAGGATTACCTCTTACGTCAACATAGTTTATTGATTTTTTGGCCAAGGTTTACAAATTTGGACTTTTCACTTGAGACAGTTATTCAGGACAGTATGAGTACAAGACAACTCACATGTATCTGACTGTGGTTCACTTAGAAGCTAGAAAATGAAACATCAACTAATTTGATCAATTCATCATTAATCAGGAACTTCTTTTTTTCACTTTTCTTGCCTTTGCATGCTGATACAAATCAATTAGCAGCTAGAATAATTGTGCCTAAAAATGAATATGTAGTAACTATAGCAGTGATCACCGAATGTCTTAAACTGCCAGAGAGACACTTGATGTTTTTGCAAGATTTCATCTTTCACCGTTTAGAGCATTTAACTAATGTTTATCTTGATTTGGCATCTATGTACTGATGTACATTAAAAAATGAACGGACCGAAGGTTTTTTTTTTTTTGTGTGTGTGTGTGTGTGTGCGTGTGCGCGCATTGTATACACAACAGTTTCCTTTTAAAATCTTTCCTATGGTACTTCCAAGGACTGACATGGTTTATGCTTGTAATATTGGATTGGTCTTTTGTTGAAAATTTAATGATCAATACATTTGAATCTCCTTTTTTCCTTTGAATGATACTGAACTGCTCCTAACTTTTGATGAAACTAGATCATTCCCAGATTTTTGATATTGTTATAATATGAACTATAGGTCCAGTTACTATTGCTGATCGAACCGCAGAGGAATCAATGGTTACAATTATCATGAAACATTTTCCTTCTCATGCAATGTAAGTTGAAGTTGTGAGCTCGTATCATCATACTGTCATTTCATGATCATGAGTGTGACTTTCCCTTCAAGACATGGGTTAGCCTTATTGCTGAAAGGAATAAAGTAGTGCAATGATGTTCAAGTACTAAATTCTGACATTGTTATTTATTCGCAGTTTTGGAGAAGAAAATGGTTGGAGGTGTAAAGAAAAACATTCAGATTACGTATGGGTTTTAGATCCTATTGATGGCACAAAGAGCTTTATAACTGGTAATTCCTGTCAATTTCCTTTCATAATTAAATGAAGTTTTGGTAATATGATGTTAAGACTCACTTTCCTTGATACATATCTCCAGGAAAACCTGTATTTGGCACTCTTATAGCTCTTCTGTACAAGGGTAAGCCGGTATGACTCAATTGTAATTTGTGTGAATCTTTGTAATGCTGTATAGGTTTTTGACCGACCTCATATCGTGAAAAAAAAAAATAAAAAATAAAAACTAATGAGAAATTTGCTGTGCTGTTTTGCTTACTACCGCCTAGCGATAATCTTTACAGGAGTTTTTTCATTGCTATAAAAATTTCATGATTGGCAGCTATTTAGGTGCTGTAATTTCTATTGCTCCCCCATTTTCAATGTTTTTATAAATAGGTAATGTTAATGCTTGCAGATTCTGGGTGTAATTGATCAACCTATTCTCAGAGAACGATGGGTTGGTATCAGTGGGAAGAGGACTACATTGAATGGGCAAGATGTGTCAACACGAAGCTGTACAGATCTATCACAAGCGTATTTGTAGGTCTTCTTATTTCTCTTACAAACAGTATTCAGAATAATTGCCTCATTTGGCCTTCATTTTTGTTGACCTCTTTTAATGATAATAAATTGGATGATCATAAGTTTCAGCTGTATTTCTGCTTGCCTTGTTAAGGTACACTACAAGTCCCCATCTTTTTGCCGGGGTTGCTGAAGATGCTTTCATTCGCGTTAGGAATAAGGTATATGATATCTAATTCGCATTTGCTTCCACTTAGCAACTATCTTGCAAATCTAATATCAAAAACTTAAAACAGGTTAAAGTGCCACTCTATGGATGTGACTGTTATGCCTATGCTCTTCTAGCTTCTGGGTTTGTAGATCTCGTAGTTGAATCTGGCTTGAAGGTGAGCTGACTAATCTTACCAATAATCTTATGTTCATCGTCTTAAACATGTTACACGTATATGTTTACTCCTTTTCTTTCTGATTGATTTAGTTTCCTGGTTATTTTCAGCCATATGACTTCCTTGCATTAATACCGGTTATAAAAGGGCCGGTGGGACTATAACTGATTGGAAAGGCGAAGAATTCCACTGGGAAGCTTCACCAGAATCTAAGGCAACAGGTGCAAAAACATGACTCTCTTAACCATTCGAGTATTGATATGTTTTTATATGTTTGTGCATATTTGTTCTGACTTTTTGTAATCATTGTTTAGAGTATAATGTGGTAGCTGCCGGGGATGCTAAGCTTCACCAACAAACCGTCTTAACACTGGGTTGGAAGTGAGACTAGTCTGATATGAATTCAATAGAATTCTTAGTTTTGCAGATTAAATTTTTAATTATAGGCAAATTATCTTAAATTTTGTAATTTATTCACTATTAACTCATGTCATTTGTTTATGAACGTTGCTGCAAGGTTTATGCAAGGTTTTTAATGTTCAGCAGCTGATGAGTGATGACGTCAAATTTTACCAAAAGGCTAGTAGTTCTGCAAGATTACCTTGAACTCCAATTACATCTTGAAAATTAGAACACTTGCTAAATGAGACATTATGCAAAATGGAGTAGTTTTTTTAATAACAGAATTATGTTTCAAATTTTAGCTGAACCCTGTAAGATAAAAAGGGAAAGAATTTAAAGTATCAAGGTTAATGCAAATGAAGAATTTGTTAAGAAATTAAAGCTAGTATAAAACCATAGTTTCAATTTGAAAATTCACAATAGAACAAAGAGATAGAACAAAGAATTATAAGAAAATTTGTGAATTTTTTTTTAGTACTAATCCTTTCCAAAATCTGCAGAATAAGTAGCACTTGACTCTAGCTTTTTTGCTTCGTTTAGTTTTCTCACAGCCTGCAGAGCAAATAAACAACATAAGTAATTCGATCACATAAAAAATATACTATGCACCTTTATAAAATTAATTTCAAGTTAAGCATGCAATGTTTGAAAATTCCCTAGCCACTAACTTGACAATTATAGCTAAATTATGATGGAACAAAATTATGAAATTAGTTCGGACGAGCTAATTTGCTTGAGAAAAAAACATGCCAAAAAGGGTTGATAAATTAATCTTTTAAGCAAGCCCCTTTTAAGAGATTAAGGCCCATTTAAATAACAAGCTAACCATTGGGGCACAAATTAAATACAAAGAGATTTGCTTAAAATCTTATGTGAACAACTTTAATGGCGGAGAATCTCCAAATGGTAAGCTAATTGTTAAATTAGCTTGTCATGCCACATATGATTTCAAGCAAAACCACTTTGTAGCTATTTTATACCCCAATGCAATGACTAGCTACTAGTTTGCTTTTTTCTTTTCCTTTTTTTTTTTTTGAATAAGCCGGACTTTCTCAATTAGCTTTATTAATTTTAATATATTAATCTCCAAAAATTTTGGAACTTTTTTTTCTCAAACAAATAAGCTTGTCTAAGCTAATTTGCTTGGCCAAACTAATTGTATTTCTTACCTTCAATGGTCAAGCTAGTAACTAGAGATTTTTTAAAGTTACAAACAAGTCTTTAGATACAACAATTGGAGTTATGAGCAACTCTAATGGTTGTAGCTAGGGACTTGCTTTCCAAAAGTCTCTAGCTACTAGCATGACCATTGGAGCTAAAAAATACAATTAGTTTGGCCAAGCAAAGCAAGCTAATTTGCTTGAGAAAGAAGTTTCTAAAATTTTAGAGATTAATGTACTAATATAATTAAACTTTTAGAGATAATTGAGAAAGTTAAGCTCATTTAAATTCCAAGCCATTAGCTAATCATTGGAGCACAAAATAGCTACACAAAAAATTAGTTTAAAATCCTACGTGGTATGGCAAGCTTATTTGAGAATTAGTTTTACCATTGGAGATGCTTATATTGTCAAATTCGTTTGCTATGCCACATAAGTTTTTAAGCTAATTGTCATTTTAGCTTAGAGCTCCAATGGCCATCTATTAGCTTACTAATTTTTTATATCCTACCTCCCGAATTAACTTTTTTATATTTCATTTTAATTTTTATTTAATTTATGCAAGTTTTATCCAAGCAAATTAGCTTTGAAAATTAAGGGTTTTTTTTTTTTTTTTTTCTAATTTCATTTTAATTAAGTTTTTTGCAAGCTAATTTGCTTGGCCGAACTAATTGCATTTTCGAACTCCAATGGTCAAGCTTGTAGCTAGGGTTCATTTAATATTGCAAGCAAGTCCCTAGTGAGTAGCTACAACCATTGGAGTTGCTCTAACAAACTAATTTGCAAATACGCTCCACTAGAGTTGCTCTTAGCACTCACCTTTGTTGTATTCTAAACCTATTAGCGAATGGCTTAGAAACTACTAGGCTAAATAATGAAAAACAATGCATGTGAGTTGCACGGGGAAAAGTGCATGCTCCACAAATAAAACTCATGCTGTTTAATGGTCTAAATATGACAAATATTACCTTCATGAAGTCTTCATGAATCACATAATCTCTCTCAGCACGTATGGCTGACATACCAGCTTCAGTACAAATGTTTCGTAGATCGGCCCCATTAAATCCCTGGAAAAAAAGGGCAACATATTCAACACCTTGATAGATGTGGTAGCAGAAAATAATAGGTAAGTCTACATAAAGTAGAAGATCACCTCTGCTAGCTTAACAACTGCTTCATAGTCGATCTCACCATGTTTGGCAATACCAGCAGCATGGATTTTGAGAATTTCCATTCTTGACTGTTCATTTGGCAATGGAATCTCAATTTTCCTATCTAGACGTCCTGGACGAAGAAGTGCTGGGTCCAGCACATCCGGTCTGTTTGTTGCCATGATCATTTTGACCTGCATTTACAAAGTACAATGTGGTCAAAGAGGAACATCAAATTATCAACTGCAACGCGCCTACAAATTACAGCAAGATTACTCTATAATGAGTTTCATAGTCATAATACCTTGCCTAGCTGATCAAAACCATCAAGCTGATTCAGCAGTTCCATAAGGGTTCTTTGAATTTCACGATCAGCACTTGTACCCTCACTGAATCGACGACCTCCAATAGCATCAATCTCATCCATGAAGATGATGCAAGGCTGAGAATAGAAAACATAAGAGTCATAAACCACAAGAAACCATTTAAACCAGTACCCTCATACTGTGATAACTACGTTAAATGCCGCTATCTCACCTGGTGTTCTCGAGCGTAATTGAACATTTCACGGATCAGTCTTGCACTTTCACCAATGTACTTATCGATGATAGCACTTGATACAACCTATAACAAATATAAGAAATAACAGTTATTTACACTGTTAGTATGTTACTCCCCTTAAAAAAAATAGCACTTGATACAACCTATAACAAATATAAGAAATAACAGTTATTTACACGTTAGTATGTTACTCCCCTTAAAAAAAACAAAAAAAAAAATCACGAGGATGCAACCATTTTCAAATGCATATGCTTTAATACCTTTAGGAAATTGGCATCTATATTACTGGCTATGGCTCGAGCTAACAATGTCTTGCCAGTCCCTGGAGGCCCATAGAGAAGAACACCCTGTAAAGGAAAACATACACAAATATTGCGTTAGCCCAACAAATATCTACCCAAGGTAACAAAACCAAAAAAAACAAAAATAAACAAAGAAAATACAGTCCCACACAAAGTATATACCTTTGGAGGTTTAATTCCCACACGAATGAAAAGCTCAGGATTCATCAGTGGAAGCTCAATGGATTCCCTCAGTTCTCGGATTTGATCAGACAGCCCTCCCACAGCAGAATAGCTTATATTCCCAGGATCTTCATGAAGCATATTGTATACAACTGGATCAACCTGCATATGCAACATATGAGAACATGATGCAATATCATAAAGCGATGTGGCAAACAGAAGTCACAGAACCATAGGCTTCAACCATGCGCTAAATCTGCAATAATTGTATAATACATTCTCACTTTACATGTACAAGAATTACACAACTGAATAAGAACTTCACAAACTTAAACACCTATTTTTTGCATCTTGGGATCACCACATTCAATTTAATGCATAAATTAAACGTTTAAATGCGGTCGCTGTAGGAAGAGGGCATCAGAAATTATGATAAAGCTAGCCTGTGTCAAACAATCTGGATTAAGACTTAGTGTTCTGTGATAAAATCTGAGTAAAATTTATTCAACTAATACAAGCTATAGATTAATTCAAAGGAAGATATAGTATAAGCAGAATAATGCCCTACAAGCGACCCAAATATATTGAAAAGACGCACCCAACAGAATGAATCTTATCTATGAAGAGCAAGCTTCAACAAAAACATCCTATGCGAATGAATTCATTAGCATAATGATTAGTGATGTCAGTTTAACATCTTGATAAACTAGACAAAACCCTTCCTGAGGAAACCATTTACCTTCAGATATGTCAAAAATCCTACACTACTCTTATCATTTATACTTTGAGCTACCATAAGGCATGTAATGAACCAAATCCAATATTGTTTGAGGCACATTCAAACTCCAAAGCAGCAATTGGCAACAGTCACGATTTTTCAATAATTTTGACATTTAAGTTCCAACATTAGCTCATGATAAGACTCAACCACCCACTGCCTAGCTCAGCTGGCAGTGACATTTAAATAAGTTTAAAATTAAGAATCAACTAAGCTTCTGGTCAATCCCAATCAACCAAATGGAAATCATGGCAGAAGTAAACACAAAAACTCAGATGCAGGACAAGGTAAAATAGAGAACATAAGAGGAGAAACTCACTTCACGAGGAAGAGCACGCATAATGGTGAGGGTAGTCATGTCAAGTACCACTCGAGTTCCAGAAGTGAGCTTTTCTTTGTCCACTTTGCTACGACAACCAACCACATACCTTGGTCCACTGCTAGCTTTCACAATTACTGGCACACATAAACACATTACTCAGTCACCTATATGATTGGATCTATTTGGTACTGCAGTGCTAAATGACCAAGGAAAAAGTTAAGGGAAAAAAGGTTGTTCAAGTTATATGTACACGTCTAAGTACAAACTACAACACTTGGATAAACAGAGTAATATCACTGATATGAAGCAAAGAGGACAGTGAAATAGATAGAACAAAAGCATTTTGTCTTAAAGATCTCATCATAGATGGAATAAATAAAAATAAGCCTGCAACCAAGACTTGACACACCCTAGTGGAAGTCCAAGCAACAAAGTTCACATAACTCTAATCTGCTACTAATGGAAGAGATTCTCAATTCTCTTTATTTTTATTTTTTTTTTTAAAAAGAAAAGGAAAAAAAAAAGGATAGTGGCAAAAGATCAACAAATCCTAAGGTACCTTAACTCCTTAAGGTAACAAACCAGCAAAATGAATTTAGTGGTAAAACAGACAAGAAGAGATCAAGAAATCAATTACATCTCTCATTGTCAAGAGGCCTTAGGACTTCTCCAATGATCTGCCCAACACTCTGGAGTGACTTTAGATCATCCTCTGTTTTAGCGTAGTCCTTTTTGGCACTTCGCAACTCTTCCTTCACTGAAAATATAGAAATTAAATACATTAGCAGCAGCCTTAAAATAAAAGGGAACAATGATCCACTACTAGAATCAACAAAATATCAAGTTGCATAAATACCAAGCAACCATTCTCAACTAAAAAAAAATACACACAACACTCTCCTCCAACCTCAATGGAAATTTATAGTGATAAACCAAAACTCATCACCACTATTCAGCAGCTTCCATAACTGTCACAACTGATGAAACTAGTTGTTTTTCCATATACCTTCATATAATTCTTCGTTTTACTTCACAAACCCTAACACGAGCAAACATTTCTCAATAAACTCAAAATTTGGCTTAAAATTCTCCAATAACTAACGTTTCCAATTACATGCACTAAAATCTTCAGATCAGATACGAAATTACAGTCAGAAATCACAAACACGAATAGCGAAACAATTTTCCATAAATTTTCAAACATTTAAACGAAAATCGAAAATCAAACTTAAACACTTCAAATTCCACTACGATTACACTGGATGTTGATTTCTCACAACATCAATTAACTAATTCGACTAGAAATTCATCAAATTCGACTATCTCGGAGTTAAATTAGATATAAATTCATGCAAATTTGATATCGTAAACAGCTAAACAAACTAAAAGCAGATTCAAAACCCTAAAATTCAATAACCTAGAAATTAATGAAGACAAAAGGTCGAAATTAGGGATTCAGAATGAAAAACCTTTTCTGCTACGAGATTCAAGCTCGCGATGTTGAAGGAGCTTCTTATTGTATTCGGCAACGGCGGCCTTACGCTTAACCTCTTCTTCGGTCGACATTAGAGAGAGGTCTGCAGAATAAAGCAGATGATCTCCGATGAGAGAGGAGAGAGAAAGGAGTAAGTATTACCCACTAGCAGGTAGGGACTAGTACTTGTCCATACCACAGTATAAGATTATTTTCTAACTAAAATTTTAATGTAAATTGAATAAAAAAGGAAAGAGTGGGTAAAAAAGAAACATAACCCCCAAAAATCGAGGAGTGAGGGTGAGGCTATGGAGTATTCTTCTCTGCCGGAGTATACTTATCAACCGGAGTTACATTACTCTTCAAGTGGGGTTATGTGGATTTTAATTGATGAAAGGTAGTATAGTCGGACGCCGGCGAAGGATTTTCAAGGTCTTTAAACATTTGTTACTTTAACCACGAGATCGACGATGAATTTTTCATCGGAGTGCAAATTTACTACTTCAATCATGAAAAACGGCGAGTTCTTTGCTAGGTACTGTTGAAATTCGGAATAATTTGGATGTGAGAAAGTTGAAGTCGACGACATTAATTGTTTGTCGGTGCTCAGTTATTATTAACGTGTATACTGTTATTTTTCATTTGTATACTGTTATTTTATTTGTATGTTGTTATCTAATGGTTTCATATTGTTATTGTACTCTGTACTTGATGAAGACGAAAACGAAAAGATGATGGTGATTTTCTCTCTCCTCTCACTCAAAGGTTTTTGAATTGGTTTTCCGGTGAATTTTTCGCCAAATTAAAAACTTTACGACCACCATCACCAACACTTTTCCGATGAGAATATTAAAAAAAATAAAACAAAGGTTTTCTGGTGAGCATTCTAATGGAAAAAGAGGAGAGAGGGAAAAAGAGGAAAAAGAGTTTTTTTTACTGCTTAGTAACAAATGAGTTACTGTCTAAGAATTTACATGAAATTTCATTTTTGCCCCTAGGTATGGACCAAGGGAGCCCATACCTGGTAGTGGTCTATCACTACTCGAAAGAAAGAGAGAGAAGTTTTTGAGACTTGCACAGAGAGTAAGGAAGGACTTCCGATTTGTCACATACTCAAATACGGAGTATGTTATTCAACAAGATTATATGGTGTACTCCGTAATTCCTTCTCAGTAATTTTTTTCTTGGAAAAAAATACTCTCAGTAATTTAACAACCCCTAACCTTATCATATTACTCAGTCATTTTTATTTGGATCTTGCTAACTAACACCCCCGACACGTTGGATAAGCATTTAAAATCTTACCTAAAGTGGTGTTAATTTGGAAAAGCATGATAAAATCACGCGTCGATCGGTGTAATTAGTGTTAATTTTAATTTAATCTTTCTATTTTTAACTAGCTTATCCAACGCCTCCGGGGCGTTCATTACTAGATTGTATCCGTGCATTATACATAACATGTGTATTTGAATAATAAATTTAAATAATAATCAATGCATGAGATTTGAGAATTTGGCTTTTGGAGGATTGTAGTTAACCGACACTGCAATTATATATAGATTTTATTTTATTATATTTAATATAAAAAACACTTTAATTTTTGTTTAGAGTAAATTTTATTCACCTGATTTTAATTATTAGAAATTATTATAGTAAAATTTATTTTAATTGTAATTTGAATTTAGACAACGTTTATTATAACTCATTTTTAGATTATACTTTGAAAAAGAATAGGTTCTATTAAACTTTAAAAACATAAATATAATTAGGCAAAAACTAATGAGCATCTCGGCCGTTTGATAAAAAAAACTAAATGTAGATTATTAATTTGAAATATACATTAATTATACCAATCAACGCATGATTTTGGCATGTATTCCCACATTAATAAGGATCGGAGTACCATTTTATGAAGTATATTTGATTGTTATCTAATGCCCCGGGGCACTCGTGAGCAAGATCATCATATAATTATTAAAGATCAATGTTGTAATTCACGCATAATATATACGAGTAGTAGAGTATTTGACAAAAATGAATAAAAGATAAAACTAGTAAACTATGATGAAATTCACAATTTCACCACTCAATTCTCAATTTCCTTATCTTGCAATTAAAGATATGTATAATCAAAGGTGTATTTTAAAAACCTTCTAAAGCATTTGTGACAATTTATTTTGGACAAAAGGAGTAATAATGAGCAAAAACTCTTATTTCTTATATAATGAGAAACTTGGGTAAATAATGCCAAGGGAAATTGGAGTTTGTTAAAGAATTTACCGATAGAAAAGTTTTGATTAATAAAAGGAGTAAAAGAGTGAAAGAAGATGGGTGAAATTGTTGTAGTGTTATCATTGTATTCTTACTTCTATGGCATTGTATTTATAGCCATGAGTTACACTAATAATACAATAATTACTCACATAGAGCCATATGAGTTCACAAGTGTTTGGACCTATATGAGCATTGTGTAATCAAATCAATAATTGGCATTCACTTATTAGACTTATCTTCTAACACTCCCCCTTGAATGCCACTAAAAATCTTGTTAGGTAAAACTTTATGGGATAAGACCCATAGCCAAAAGAGTACACCAATATTATTGTATTATATGCTTTGGTATACTGCCTCGTTAAAAACCTTGTCAGGAAAAACCCGGTGGGATAAAAACCTGATCGAAGGGAAAAAGAGTGCAGTACATATAATACTCCCCCTGATCTCAGCATAGTTCACGAAGATGTCGCATTCCGATTTTATGAACTAACTGTTCAAATTTCTTCGAAGGAAGTGATTTGGTGAAAAGGTCGGCAAGATTTTCACAAGACTGAATTTGCTGGATATTTATTTCCTCGTCCTTTTGCAGATCATGTGTAAAGAACAGTTTTGGGGCAATATGTTTCGTTTTATCTCCTTTAATATATCTTTCAGTTACTTGAGCGATACATGCTGTATTGTCTTCAAAGATGATGGTTGGGTCTTCTGTTATTGCGTTCATTCCACACTCCTTTTGGATATTACTGATCATCGACCTCAGCCACACACATTCCCGTCCTGCTTCATAGAGGGCTATCAACTCTGCATGATTTGATGATGTCGCGGTCAATGTCTGCTTTGTTGATTTCCATGATATTGCAGTGCCGCCATAAGTGAATACATATCCATTTTGTGACTTGGCATTTTGAGGATCTGATAAGTATCTAGCGTCTGCATACCCAATGAGAGCAGCATCTTATTTTGGTTGGTAATATAAACCAAGGTCTTGTGTCCCTCATAGGTACCGGAGTAAGTGTCAAACTCCCTTCCAATGCCTATATGTTGGTGCATTGCTGTGCCTGGCTAACAAATTCACAGAGAAAGCTATGTCGGGTCTAGTATTGTTAGGTAAGTACATTAAGGCTCCAATTGCACTTAAGTATGGTACTTCTGGACCCAGAATCTCTTCATTTTCTTCTCGGGGTCTGAATGGATCATTTTTCATATTCAAAGAACGAACAACCATTGGGAAGTTGGTTGGGGTTGCTTTGTCCATGAAGAAACGTTTCAAAACTCTTTCTGTATAGTTTGATTGATGGACAAAAATGCCATGACTCAAGTGCTCAATTTGTAGTCCAAGGCAAAATTTAGTTTTCCCAAGGTCTTTCATCTCGAATTCTTTCATCAAGTATTTTGCAGTTTTCTCGAGTTCATTTGGGGTTCCGATGATATTTAAATCATCAACATAAACTGCAATGATAGCGAACCCTGATTGTGATCGCTTTATGAAAACACAGGGACTAACTTGGTTGTTTTTGAATCCTTCTCTCATAAGGTATTCACTCAGACGGTTGTACCACATCCTTCCAGATTGTTTCAATCCATAAAGTGACCTTTTTAGTTTTATGGAAAGCAGTTGTCTAGGCTTGTGGTTTTCTGGTAGTTTTAGTCCTTCGGGGACTTTCATGTAAATGTCCGTATCGAGTGACCCATACAAATACGCAGTCACTACATCCATTAATCGCATTTGCAGTCCTTTTGTGACTGTCAAACTTACCAGAAATCTTAATGTAGTTGCATCAACCACTGGAGAATATGTTTCTTCATAATCAATCCCTGGAATTTGAGAAAATCCTTGGGCTACAAGTCTTGCCTTGTATCTAACTATTTCATTTTTCTCATTACGTTTTCTTACAAATACCCATTTGTATCCAACGGGTTTTACACCTGCTGGTGTAAGGGTTATTTTCCCAAAAACTTCTCGTTTTTCAAGTGACTTTAACTCAGCCAGCATTGCCTCCTTCCACTTTGGCCAATCACTCCTACGTCGACATTCTTCTACAGTTCTTGGTTCAACATCATTTTCATCAGACACGATGTCGATTGCGATGGAATTTGCAAATGTTTCATTAACGATAACATCTTTCCTATTCCACTGAGTCTTTGTAGAGACGTAATTCATTGAAATTTCATTGTTATCGATGTTTTGAACATCTTGTTCATTCCCCGTAGGGTTGTCTTCTTGTTCGTCCCCTTTTGGATTATCATCATTTTCTTTACTTTCATCCACATTTGGTCTTTCTTGACCTTCTGACGGGGGAACATTATTAGTCTCATTTTCTATTCCATCCAATCTTTTTAGTTTCCTTGGCTTAGAATCTTTTGAACCAAGTGGTCTTCCACGCTTTCTGCGTGCCTGAGATTCATTTTCTATGGCCTTATTACCAGTTGGGATTTCAATACGTGCAGGGGCATTTTCTGCTGGTATATGTGATTTTGTCACCTTCTTTGTGTCTACAAATGCATCGGGCAATTGATTTGCAACACTTTGTAAATGAACAATTTTCTTAACTTCTTGTTCACACATATTTGTTCGTGGGTCTAACATCAACAGTTGTGTTGCATTCCAAATGAGTTCAATTTCTTTCTTATGTGGGTTCACTTTCTCTCCCCCTAAGGCTGGGAATACTGTTTCATTAAAGTGACAATCCGCAAATCTAGCCGTAAATAAGTCACCAGTCAATGGTTCAAGGTATTTAATTATAGAGGGGGATTCAAACCCGACATAAATTCCCAGCCTTCTTTGTGGACCCATTTTTGTTCGTTGGGGTGGAGCAATGGGAACATATACAGCACAACCAAAGATTTTTAGATGTGAGATACTTGGTTCTCGACCACAAACAAGTTGTAGTGGTGAGAATTTATGATAAGTTGTAGGTCTCAATCTAATTAGCGCTGCTGCATGTATTATAGCATGTCCCCAAGCAGATGATGGCAATCTTGACCTCATTAATAATGGTCTTGCAATCAATTGTAATCTCTTAATTAGTGATTCAGCTAGACCATTTTGTGTATGAACATGAGCTACTGGGTGTTCAACATCAATTCTAATTGACATACAATAATCATTAAATGTTTGGGATGTAAATTCCCCAGCATTGTCAAGTCTTATTTTCTTTATTGTATGATCTGGGAATTGTGCTCTTAATTTGATGATTTGGGCAAGTAATTTTGCTAAGGCAACATTTCTACTTGAAAGTAGACTAACATGTGACCATCGTGTAGAGGCATTAATTAAAACCATGAAATATCGAAATGGTCCACATGCTGGATTAATTAGCCCACATATATCTCCCTGAATTCTTTCCAAGAATTTTGGAGATTCAGTAGCAATTTTGTTCATAGATGGCCTTATTATTAATTTGCCAAGTGAACATGCAGAGCATGTTAATTCATCTGATCGGGGAATTTTGACATTTCTTATTGAATGTCCAACTGAATGTGCTATTATTCTTTGCATCATCCCAGTTGCTGGATGTCCCAAACGATCATGCCATAAAATAATCAAATGTTTGTCATCTAACTTCTGGTTAGATATCATATTGATTTCCACGGGTCGTATGTTTATACGGTATAACCCCGAAGAGTATGCTGGCAATTTCTCATATATATGTTTCTTGCCATGTTTTTCTGCCGTGAGGCATATATACTTTTTTTGATCTGTCGTCATTGTTTCTAGATGATAGCCATTTTGGCGTACATCTTTAAAGCTTATGAGATTTCTTCGAGATTTACTCGAATATAAAGCATTATTGATTATTAATTTTGTTCCATTTGGAAGTATTATACAAGCCTTTCCAGATCCTTCAATTAATTTAGCTGACCCGGAAATGGTGTTTACATTTGCTTGAAACAACTTTAGTTGTGAAAAATATTTTCTATCTTTTAAGATAGTATGTGTTGTTCCACTGTCCAAAAGGCATTGATATTCGGAACTAACTTCAGGTAGATCCATATCTTCATAAAATAAATTTAAGATTAGTTCAGAATAATATCATACAAACTTTTATTGATGATAAAGATTTAAAGTACATGACTAGAAATTTAAAATACAGGGAACTAAGAAAATACATTAAAACATAGCATATGTTACATTAGTAGATGGGGAACCTAAGCATTGTTGTTTTCTCCAAGAATGAAATCATTCCCAGTTTCTGCATTGTCCATGAAGAAATCGGACACATCAAGGGTAGGACATGGAGCATTTTCTTCATTAACATAATTTGCTTCTGCATTTTTCTCTTTGCCTTTTACAGAAGCCTGGTAAAGGTCTACCAAATGTTTGGCCGTACGACAAGTACGTCCCCAATGTCCTGTCATGCCACATCTGTAACATGTGTCTTTTCCTTTTGAAAGAGTTTGTTTGTGGCTTCCAGATGACTGTCCCTTCTGTTTTTCAAAATTTTTGAAATTACTGTTTCTTTGAAAATTGTTTCTACCACGTCCTCGGCCTCGTCCGCGATAATTTCCACGGCCTTTTCCACGGCCATTGTAATTTCCACGTCCACCTCTTCTTGTAGCATTTGACTCGGGTGGATAGGAATTTGTTGCATTTGCCTCATGATGAGTGGCCAAAGACCCAGTTGGTCTCAGATTATGATTTTTCAACAAAAGTTCACTATTTTGTTCCGCAACAAGCAATACACTCATTAATTCATTGAACTTTTTAAAACCTCTTTCACGATACTGTTCTTGCAACAGTATGTTACTTGCATGAAAGGTAGTGAGTGTTTTTTCAATCATCTGTTCATCCAAAACTGGATGATCACAATATCTCAATATAGACACTATCTCATGTATGGTTGAATTATAATCAATTACAGATTTGAAATCCTGGAACCGTAAATTTGTCCATTCAAATAATGCCTTAGGAAGGAGCACCCTTTTGTGGTGTCCAAATCTTTCATTAAGGCAATCCCATAATTCTTTGGGATCTTCAACCATCATGTACTCAGTTTTAAGGCCTTCATGTAACTGATGCCTTAACAACACTAAGGCTTTTGCCTTATCTTGTTCAGTAACAGGTTTTGCAACAGTCATTGCAGAAGTGGTAGTATCAGTTGTTTGACTAGATGGACTTTTATTTTCTTTAACAGTGTGCTCCAAGCCTTGAGCTTTCAAATTCATCATTGCGTCCACTTTCCATTCCAGAAATTTCTTTCCAGATAAATCTAAGATGCTGAACTGTCTTTTCATAAGGTCTCCCATTTTAGCTACAACAAATTTCGTGATAATTAGTTTATAATAACAAATTATATGTACAACTCACATGTTTAGTTCTTCCATATTTATAATTAAGTTAATAAGACACGTGATAATTAAATTTAATAATAATAAACCTAAATAATATAGTCTTTTCTCCCCCTTGGTTTATTATTGTGAGTAATTATATGATTAGACAAAAATTAATCATGTTAGTTGCAAAAAAAACAGCAAAACGACAACAATGATAGTAGTAACAATAATTATAATGATAACGGTAATATTATACAATGATGATTAATAACAACAAACATACATAATAAAACAAAAACAAGCTTTTAATATACTAAAACGACAAAATAAGTGAGTTTTACTTATACATAATGACAAAAATTAATATTGCTACTAATAAAATTACAAGCGCCGTAATTAGAAGGAAATATTGTTTTATCTTCATTAAATCTTCCTCAAAAGTGAAGTTTTGGGTGTTTTGGTTGCCGTCGTCGGGGAACATATCGGAGAAGAAGGGGGTGAAATTTTTTTATTTTTTTTTTAGGTGATTTTTGGATAAAAAGTGGGAAGGGATAAGGGATTTGTGGTGAAATTGGGGGAAAAATCCGTCTTTTATAGAGGTAGGTTTATCCGTTACTGTTCTGTACAACTGTAAAAATATCATATAATAGTCTAACGTACTGGCATAAAATTATGGTCCATATATATATATTTATAATTGTAAAAGGTTATCACACTGGGAATGCAAGCCGTAGTGGTCCGATAGCCCTAATATCTATAAAAGATCATGGGTTCGAAAACGGAAAGAAACACAAAAAGTATGTAAAAGTAAGAAAAATAATAAGTATAAAAGGCTGCATCTTTTTGTTAATCTAGTTAATAATAATATGCATGCAAAGCAACTACTTAGCAATTATAATAACTAAGATAAAAATTTACGTAAAATGAGTATGTAATATCAACATGGATCAAACAAAGAAACATCAACATGAATAAACAAAAGATGATAGTAGTAAATTCACAAGTAAGAGAACTGTCACCGTTGTTTTTGAGGTATATATAGTAAATGTTATAGAGGATCCCAAATATGGGCAACTATAGAGCATACTCCTCGAAACATTTAGAAGTAGATAGTATTATTTGTTATAAATTTTTAGAAGTAGGTATAAATATACTTGACTGAAAACTCGTGCTGATAACGTGTTAAAGAATTTACCGATAGAAAAGTTTTGATTAATAAAAGGAGTAAAAGAGTGAAAGAAGATGGGTGAAATTGTTGTAGTGTTATCATTGTATTCTTACTTCTATGGCATTGTATTTATAGCCATGAGTTACACTAATAATACAATAATTACTCACATAGAGCCATATGAGTTCACAAGTGTTTGGACCTATATGAGCATTGTGTAATCAAATCAATAATTGGCATTCACTTATTAGACTTATCTTCTAACAGAGTTCACATTCCAAAATTAATTCTGCCATTATTGATGAGTGCAACTTGTAGATTGTTACTTTTTATGTTGTACTTCGAATTCGTTACTAGCCTAATTCATCATAATTGAATTCTGTAAGTATACTTTTTATGTTCGACGTGGGGGGAACGAAGTAGCTCACAACCTTGCACGTTTTATTCCTTTTAATGTAGAACAAGTTTGGGAAAATAGAGTCTTCCCGATGAGGTCTCTCCTTATGTACTCATGGATACTCTCATTATGAATTAATGATTTTACTCCCCGTCAAAAAAAAAAAAAAAATACTAAAATGGATGTTTTCTCTCACTCTAATCTTTATTAATTGCATAATTAGAAATTTTCAAATTTGTCAATGTATAGTTTTACTTTGGAATGAATACACTAATGTTACTTCTACACAATGTACAAAGTTTATATAGTACTACAAGGTCTACAACTCTAAAAGTATTGAACAGTGCATGATCATTGCAAAATTATTTCTCAAATTTGAATTCTTACTTTTACATCTTCATGTATGATAAACTTTATTCCAACACCTTGATGATTGTAGTTATATTCTAATAACTCCCCTCTTTCCGTTTGTTAAGACATGCAACAAGCTGACACTATTATACACGGATTAAAAGTCTCGTTGCATATATTGAGTAATGGAGAAATTGTATTCCTTGTTAAAGTTAGTATGTTTAGGAGTGAAGTCATGAAACACTTAAACCAATATACATAGTACAAATAAAAAAAACTGTTTCTTGCACATTCATATTTTCATATTCCAAATGTAACATAGAGTAGGTTGCTACATGATACACAATTACAGAAATTGTTTGCTGAAAAAGCAACACAATAAAACTAATAGGAAAGTATTGTGAAGTTCTAGTAATATACTACTAGTACAAAGAATGAAAGAACAGAAACTAACTGTTTACAAGGGGCAACTATGAAATTTACATACAATCTTCACTTAGTTCTTAATCAGTCCTTTCCAAAGTCAGCACTATAACTAGCTTGTGTCTCCAATTTCTTTCCCTCGTTTAATTTCCTGACAGCCTACAAAGCAAAGAAAAAGTATAAGATATTCAAGCACAAGCTGCATAACAAAGTATTCTAACCATTTTAAATTAAACTGTGACATTGAACAGGATCAAAATCTCTTATTTCATCAGTTTGAGCCTTAATTCTTGCAATGTGTGAGAATGGCATAGAAGCTACTGAGACAAAAAGCCGAAACAGTGAATGTTCTGGGGGTTGGGGGGGACTCTAAATACTCAAAAGGAACACATCATGATATGTAATGGTCTAATTGTGACAAACATTACCATAATGAAGTCTTCATGGATCACATAATCTCTCTCTGCACGAATAGCAAACATGCCAGCTTCAGTACACATGTTCCGTAGATCAGCCCCATTAAATCCCTGAACAAATAGGCAATAAGAAAGTATGAGTGACATGTTAGATGTAGTACAGAAAATGATATGCAAGTCTTTAAGCAATAGTTGCTCACCTCTGCTAGTTTAACAACAGCTTCATAGTCGACCTCACCATACTTGGCCATGCCAGCAGCATGAATTTTAAGAATTTCCAATCTTGAATGTTCATTTGGCAATGGAATTTCAATCTTCTTGTCTATACGACCAGGCCGAAGAAGTGCAGGGTCCAACACGTCTGGTCTGTTTGTTGCCATGATAAATTTGACCTGCAGTTACCAAGCACTTAGTGGTCAAATATTAGGTCCGAATCACATTGTTCAACAGCAATGCATACAACATAACTATCCTTGTACTAAATTTCAGTCATGATACCTTGCCTAGTTGATCAAATCCATCAAGCTGATTCAGTAGCTCCAGCAGAGTTCTCTGAATTTCACGATCAGAAGTCATACCCTCCTCACCTAGTCGTCGACCTCCAATAGCATCAATCTCGTCCATAAAGACGATGCAGGGCTGAAAATAGGAGCAATGACTTTAATAAATCATTTGAAACAAGTACAACTTATGATGAGAAAAACTTTACATTGCGACATTAGATATCCCACTTACTTGGTGATCTCTAGCGTAATTAAACATTTCACGAATCAGTCTAGCACTCTCACCAATGTAACTAATTATAATAGAACTCGCAGCAGCCTAAAACAGCAAAAGAAAGCACATCATTACATGCCAGAAAATTAAAAGAAACATCAATTAAAAAAAAAAATATGCAGCAGTTTTAATCTAACTGAATACTCTCATATACCTGTAAGAAATTGACTTTTATATTGCTCGCTATGGCTCGAGCTAACATTGTCTTGCCCGTCCCAGGAGGCCCATAGAGAAGAACACCCTGAATCTCGGAAAAAAAATACTTGATGCATTAAGACTAGCTTGGAACTAAAATGTGAAACACACCTAAAAAGAACACAAACCAGGAATTCTAATAGCAAGCCAGCCAGCCAGCCACACACACGCGTCTTACCTTTGGGGGCTTAATTCCCACCCTAATGAAAATCTCAGGATTCATTAGTGGAAGCTCGATGCATTCTTTCAGCTGTCGAATCTGATCAGATAGCCCTCCCAGAGCAGAATAGCTAATATCTCGAGAATCTTTATGAATCATATTGTATACAAGAGGACTCACCTGCATATAAAATAAGTGAGATTTCCCAAAATAATAAGGGAACCATGATTACAGTCTCACAAGCTATCACAGATTCATAGCGAAATAAATCCTTGTATCATACGGAGTAATATATATAGACAATTGTCACGTACTAAACTGTTGTACAAGATGTAAACCGATGCTGAGAAAAGGCATACATAACACAATTACTAATACAGGGCACACATTCTGTTCGATCTCCTGCCTTACTCGACTGAAAAGTAGATGCATATCAAGCATGGATCGAGGAATTGAATCAAATGCAGCCTTCAAATCTTCTATATAATGACACTAACATTTGTTCTTTGAAGGAAAAAGTTTACATACACTCCGTAACAACTTAAATATTTCCACATTAAGTCACTTCGATCCACAATTACCAGCAAATATAAACAACTGATCGAACTAAGGCACATGTATATAGCAGAAGAGATTAGAACTTACTTCACGAGGAAGAATTCCTAGAATAGTGAGGGTAGTCTTATCAAGAATCACTCGTGTTCCAGAAATTAGCTTCTCCTTGTCCACTTTGTCATGACAACCAACGATCCATTCTTCGTTGCTAATTTCCACACTTACTGTCACATTCACATATAAACACATCAATCAGTGACAAATTTGATTGATTTTTTTCCACGCCAAATCAAACTATTTGATCAAAGAAAAGCGTCGAAAACAATAGTGTCTACTATACAGTACACTTGGATATCAATATCATATAAGAACAAACAAACTAACTAATTAAAAAATTAAGAGACGTAATAAGCACAAAAATTGTCAAGCAACCATTACAGCAGATTTCATGTAACAGAATACTTCTTCCATTTATTATCATAATTTTAAAAATAATCAAATGTATAAATTCATGTAACATGTATGTTATTGAATACGAAATATTAGATTTATATCATATGAAATATGTAATCAAGATATATATTAACGATTTAAAGTTGTGAATGGACAAACAATATGACAAATTCAAGAAAAACAATAGAAAATTAACAAATTAATCCAAGAAAAAGAAGAAGAAGAACTGAAGAAGACATGAATTACTTTGCTCATTGTCAAGAAGCCTAATGACTTTTCCGACTAACTTCATGTATAATCAAATGTATAAATTCATGTAACATGTATGTTATTGAATACGAAATATTAGATTTGTATCATATGAAATATGTAATCAAGATATATATTAACGATTTAAAGTTGTGCATAGACAAACGATAAATTCAAGAAAATCAACAAATTAAACAAATCCAGGGTGCAAGAAAACCGAATTAATCAAAGAAAAAGAAGAAGACATGACTTACCTTTCTCACTGTTAAGAAGCCTAATGACTTTTCCGACTAACTTGGCACTGCTTTGTAAATATCTAAGATCAAACTCTGTTTTATTGTACTCTTTTTTTACAATTTCCAGCTCCTCTTTACCTGAATATATTGAGTTCGAACAAATTAAATTTTGCGTTATTAGCTTTTCAAGAATTCAACAAAAGATTATAGTATTAAATAGACACTTAGAAAACACAAATTGAAATGAATTAACCAAATCATATATAATAAAATATTTAATTCAATATTTAACTTCGACGACATGAATAGTAAGCGAGTAATCGAACATATTCTGCTATAAAATTCGTGCAATTGACGCTGAAGACGCCTCAAATGGAATTCTTCAATGACGAGTTTCCGATGTTCACGACGATTGTCTTCTTCCGTCGACATTAGTTAGAATCTTGTACAATGTGATATTTGCTAATGTCTATATTTGAAGAAGAAAATATTGAATTTTGTATGTTTTTGTGAGAATGAAGAGAGATTTTATAACAGTGATAGTTAGCAAGAACTCTTAGCTGAGGGCACAAAGAATTCAAACAATATAAACGAGCGAACTTTTATATCTCAAAATTGTAGTATGAGTTAGTTAGTTAGTTATATTTTGCCTTCGATTTCCTACTTGAGGTAGTCAAGGCTGCTACAAATAGCAGGTTTTTGTAGCTGATTTTTTTTTTTTTTTTTTTTGCGTGAGGAATGCTACAAGTAACAGTTTATTGCAGCTACAACAATTACCGAGTATATTTAAGGACCTGTTCTCTTCTAAATTCCAGTTCAGTTCAGCTTCTATTTCCTTCTCTCATAAACATCTCTTATAAACAGTTCAGTTCAGCTTAGTAAATCACTAAATCAAAACAGGCCCTATGTAACTTACTCTTATATTAAAATTCAAAAAATTAATTAATTAATACTCGTACTTAATAATTATATTGGTAAGAGATTTACATCAATCGAATAATAGGTAGATTAAGTGAAAATTATAGAAGTAATATACTCTTGAATGCAGGGTGCATCTAAGGCATCTTGCTCATTTGATGATAAAATGAGCAAATATTATCAATATGAGCATTTGGATATATTAGGTTTTGTGGAACAAGAACAATTAGAATTACTCAATTAATCCCTTATTTATGTCTTTATTTCCAATCATTTTTAAAATGTTAACAAGTTCTTTTTTCGGCCAAAATATGATCTTAATTGCACCTACTTACAAGCCTCAATCGATTTATGTAACGATTGTATCGTGATCTGAATTTCCACCTCATACAATAACATTCTTCACGATGGATTGCAAAGGTAATACTACGTATTTTGTACTAAGGTAACAGTTTATTTGCTATAATAAAGCTAAAAGAAATCAAATTTAGTAAACAAGCATATACAACTATACAAGTACATAATACTCCGTAGCATGCAATATATTTTTGTATTTTTTGTCTAATATGGGAATTGAATGGTGATTGAGTCATTGACTATGTCAAAGATGTTAAACTATTGATTTAAAAAATAAAATGTTAGAAGATTGTATTCATTGACAACCCTTAACCATCATATATTTGCTAATTAAATCCCAAACATAGTTCACAAGATTTCTATCTAAAAAAAGCCATCATCAACCCAAAAAAATTGGCTAAAATTTTGGACATTTGCCTTAGTTTACCATTACCATTCATCAAAAATACACAAAACAACAACGAACCAACATTTCTCAAAGCAAAAAACACCTCCGATTTTCAAGAGTGAGAAGAAAAGAAAAAAAAAAAACAGCAAAAATCTCCTTTTACTTTGATGTTTTTGAACAACTTTCCTAGAATTTCTCTTGCTTTTGTTCTGTTTTTTTTCTCCTAGTCTACCCCTTTACACCCTCCTGGGTTAGGAGGAATGATGTTGGACAAGAAAAAAAAACCACTTACCCTTCATTCCTCCACCCAAACATCCTTACCAATCTCTTCTATGACAATATTCGCGCTCCTCCCCCTCGTTCTTCTCCTCTCCCTTCCCATCTCCACCCTCGCGACCCCTGCAACTACCTTCAGCCCAAAAGATAACTTCTACATTGCTTGTGGAAGCAACGAAAAGATAAGCACCTCTGATGGAAAAACGTATGAATCTGACCAAGATGCTCATGGGTTCCTTTCGGCGGAGGACAAATACCTTGTTTCTGACCCTAATGCAAATGTACCTTCTAAGATATATTCTTCTGCTAGAGTTTTCTTAAAGGATGCAACCTACACGTTTACATTGCAGGACTCGGGTTGGCATTGGGTTCGCCTTCATTTCCTCCCTATTAAGACCGATGTTTTCAAGCTTGAGTCGGCTAGTTTTAATGTTTATACCAATGAAGTCACCCTTCTTCATAGTTTTAGTGCCACCAATCTCACAATGAAGGAGTATCTCATCCATGTTAAGTCCCAAAGGTTTTCTATTAGGTTTGAGCCTCAGAAAAACTCGGCTGCTTTCATCAATGCCATTGAGGTGTCTACCGCGCCAGATAAGTTGATTGGTGATTCAGGCCAATCTTTGTCTCCGGTGGGTCAGTTTAATGGTCTGAGTCATAGCTCACTCGAAACCATGTATCGAGTCAATGTAGGTGGAAGCCTAATAACAGCTGATAATGACACCCTTGGTAGAACATGGGTCCAAGATGATGGGTATATCAAGAACAAAAATATGGCTAAAGATGTCAATGTTCAAACCAATATCATCAAGTACCCTGACGGAGTCACCCCTTACATAGCGCCGCAAACGGTGTATGCCTCTGCAGCTGAAATGGCTGATGCTAACACCATGGAGCAGAGCTTCAACGTTTCGTGGGAGTTTCCGGTTGAGAAGTCTTACGATTACTTAGTAAGGCTACATTTTTGTGACATTGTTAGTACAGCCCTTAATGACTTGTATTTCAATGTCTACATTAATGGGAAACCAGCTATTTCTGCGTTGGATTTATCTTCAATTACGGGTAAATTAGCCACCCCAAACTTCCAAGACATTGTTGTTGATTCTTCTTTGGTAGATCAAGATAAAGTCTCGGTTCAAATTGGACCGTCAACACTTGATTCCGGTGCTAAAAACGCTATCCTCAATGGGGTCGAGGTGTTCAAGATGAACAACACGGTAAGTAGTTTGGATGGGGAGTTTGGTCCGGATGGAAAAGCTGCTACGGATGGCAAACATAAGAAAACAGTTGCTGCAGTCGGGTTTGCTATGATGTTTGGAGCGTTTGTCGGGTTGGGAGCGATGGTGATCAAGTGGCATAAGAGGCCTCAGGATTGGCAAAGGAGAAACAGCTTCTCCTCCTGGCTACTTCCTCTTCATGCAGGGGACTCAACTGTCTTTGGTAAGAGTAATTATGGGTCTAATAAAAGTAGTATCTTCACCACTGGTGGCCTTGGCCGTAGGTTCACCTTCGACGAGATCAAGGAATCCACCAAAAACTTTGCAGCCAGTGGTGTCATTGGTGTTGGTGGATTTGGTAATGTCTACATTGGAACGTTGGATGGCACCCAGGTTAATCGCCTTAAAATGCTTGGTTACACCAGTATTAAGTTTTTGGTTACAATTTTGATTAAATTTTGAATGAACTATTTAATAGTGCATTGGACAAATTGAAAGAAACAGAACAGAATTTTACTAATCATAAACTTAATTTTACAACTCAAACTAACATTTATAAGGATGACGAGAACATACCTTTATAATCGATGTATGGACATTGACATTGATCTCTTAATCATGAACAGGTAGCAGTCAAGCGAGGCAACCCTCATTCAGAGCAGGGTATCAACGAATTCATGACCGAAATACAGATGCTGTCCAAGCTTCGCCACAAGCATTTGGTGTCTTTGATAGGGTATTGTGATGAGAATAGTGAGATGATCCTGGTGTACGAGTACATGTCCAATGGACCTTTACGCGACCACCTCTATGGAAAGAACTTGCCTCCATTATCTTGGAAGCAAAGACTCGAGATCAGCATTGGAGCAGCTCGTGGACTACACTACCTCCACACAGGATCTGCCCAAGGAATCATCCACAGAGATGTCAAGACAACAAACATTCTCCTTGACGAAAACTTTGTCGCAAAGATGGCAGACTTCGGACTATCCAAGGATGGTCCAGGCCAACAAGCAGACCATGTCAGCACAGCAGTAAAGGGTAGTTTCGGGTATCTTGATCCAGAGTATTTCAGGAAACAGCAGCTTACTGACAAGTCAGATGTGTACTCATTCGGAGTAGTCTTGCTCGAGGTTTTATGTGCTCGTCCTGCCATCAACCCGGCCCTATCTAGAGAACAAGTGAACCTTGCAGAATGGGCAATGAATTGCAAGAGGAAGGGAATGCTGGAAAAAATCCTCGATCCTGTCTTAGTTGGATCGATAAACCCAGAATCGATGAAGAAATTTGCTGAGGCAGCTGAGAAATGTTTGGCTGAGTATGGGTGTGACAGGCCTACAATGGGTGATGTGCTATGGAACCTGGAGTACGCGTTGCAAATTCAAGAGGCATCGGCGCAAGGAAAGACAGAAGATGCTTCTACAAACCTAAACTCTACTGCAGCTTCTGCACCTGTGGCAGTGGAACCAAACGCTATCATTCCTGAGCAGACACAAGCCATCGATGAACGATCTGGAACTGCTCTACTTGCCCAATTTAGCAACCTCAGTGGAAGATGAAAAACAAAATTAAGAAAAAAATCTATTAATTTTTGGAAAATTGCAAATCAATGCTCATAAACAGATGCTTTCAATGGTGATAATGGAGGTGGCTTTGTTTTTTCGCTGTGTTTTCTCAGTATGTCAAAACAATTCAATGGTGTTATTTAGTGATGTTATAGCATGTTCTTGTCTAGAATGATTATTTCTCTCAAGCTCTGGCGCGCAGTGTAAACTTACTTGCAGATAATAACTTATTAATGTTTGTGTTGTCTTCATAAATTCATGTATATATATGTCAGAGATGAGAGGCAATAGAAATTTTTTTACTTAGAAGATTTCCATGTAAACTAGTAGTATCATTTTTTCAACTGAATTTACTTTTTGATTTCTTAATACTACTTAGGTAATTACTTCAGATAGATTAAATCAGTACAGCAACTCTAATAATAAAACTGTCCATATTGCAAAACTTCAATTAGAATTCAAAAATCGCACATCCACCACTTAATTTGAAAAGATGCACAATAATAGACATGAAGTACAAAGTAGAACACTTATAGCTTATCAGATTTAAGTGATTTATGATTGCTGTGAGTTTCTGTGAAAGATTATGTCATTTCAGACGGTATACATCATAATTATATCCTTATGTTCTTTTACGAAAATACAAAAAAAAATTGTAAGATTACAGCTTGAGTACCGTATACCATACCAGCGTTTGATCTATTGGTCCAATGTCAGTTTATAGTCATACTTAACGAACAAAATCTAAAACCTTGAGGCATTTTGATCTATTGGACCAATATCAGTTTAAAGTCAGAATAGCTAATTAATTAACTTAATACATTACAAGTATATACTCGAATACATACTAATTGAAGATTTCTTACTTACCGGCCAATAGAGTTATTTGGATGTGGATGTGTGTGTATTGCTCGATCTAAGACATGAACTAAAGAATAAGCGACTATGCAACAAGTGCAAGGAGGTGTACGGATGAGGATCAGGAAATTGAATTTTTCACAAGGGAGTAAAGAAGGATTTGGATGCCAAGGCTAAATGGCTAATGACACTATGGCACCTTAAATTGCTAATTTAATAACGCAAATTATATGCTACTCCTGGAGTACCATGAGTACCATGTGCATGACTGCATGGTACTCCAGATTTATAAAATTTATGTTATTTTAATATGAACTTCTTGTTATTTCAATTTATATATGTGTTATTTTATATTGTATGTTTTTTTTCAACATTGATCCTTTCGCTGTACTCAGATTTATAAAATTCATGTTATTTTGATGTGAACTGTTTATTATTTCAATTTATATCTGTTATTTTTCAAATAAATACATGTTATTTTAATAAATACATGTTTTTTTATTCATGATTTTGAAGTAAATAACATACGGAGTATTATTTTAGCAAAATAACACAAGGTTTATTTTAAGCAAAACAGAAAAAGACTTAGGTAAAATAACTCAAGTATATTGGGTATGGAGTACCGTGCATGATCCAAGAGTATAAATCTTTTATTATAAATCTCACCACATCCTTTCAATCAACATGGCTTGTAATTGTCGTCATTTTACTTTCAATGTGTCGAAAATCTCAATCATTAAGGGCAATTATCCGTCAAAGAAGGCTGCGGGATAGGAATTAAGGGTACATGCATACATCAAATACATGGTGCCTCTAAAAAAGAGGTAGGCTTAAAAATAGCTAAAGATAGACCAAAGAGCCATATACGTCTAAAGATATACCGACGGTCAAGTCATACACAACCTCCGCCATCTGAAAATAAGGTGAATACACAAGCACATGATTCAGAGGCTTAAAAACACAATCCACTAAATTTTATTTTTCTTTTATGTTTTTCAATCTAATTATCCACTAATTTTATTTTATTTTCCTTTCATTTTTTCCAATCTAATTATATTCCCCACACTATAATTGAGCAACTTCAATTTATGACGTCTAAAATAAAAATATTCTTCTAAGTTCCAAACTCTTTTTCTCATCCACCAGCTTATATAGTATATTCATGCATCTCATCCATATATATAAATAGGTAGCAGAACTAGAGAAGGCTTTCCCCATCACCCCCCCCCCCCAAAATCGATCCTTCGATCTCTTGCAAAAAAATGGAGAATAAAACAACAAATGAAGATGTTTTTGACATGGATGCTCTGGAGATGAATCTTCCACAAAGTAAAATCAAATATGGGTAGAGGTGATACCCCTAGGTTAGGTTAGGAATGATTTGGGGACGGGTAATATTTTATCATCGATATGATTATGTTTAATTCAATGGATTATAGTCATATGAATTTTTGAGTTGGGTTCATGAAAAAAAAAAAAGAAAAAAAAAAGAAATAGATTGTTTAATTTCACGTATTGTTATGTCAGACTTCTCATGTCTTTAGTTAATGTATAGCTTCCCTTTGTTTCAAAATAAATCTAACATTTAAATTTCGTCAAATTATTTAGTTATATGTAAATAAATTATGAAATGCTAATACTTTGAAAACACATTGAGAATTCATAACGATGCCAATTCATGGTCAAAGTTTACAAAGACTAACCTTAGAAGTAAAAAAAACAAAAAAAACAAAACAAAACAAAAAGATGTTGCTTTTATACTTAAAAGTAGAAGTATCAACTGAAGGATTCAAGCTCCTAATCTAAGAATTGTTTCTTGATTTGGTTAATAGGAGAGGGTTATCCCGATACTACTCGGAAAAATCAAGATCATTTGCATGTTTGGCTGATGTCCATACATTGGACGATTTGAAGAAACAAGATCATAGGAAGCCAAAGAAGCAGAAGAACTACAAATATCAAGCAACACACAGCCTCCTATGCCTTGCATAGGCGTTTAAAAGCCCCTCCCAAACGAAAATACGGCTTAGAATGTCACAAAAGATGTGACTTTCTTTTCCTTCTTTTTTTGGTTAGATACAATATATGTTGGTTTGGTCAAAAAATTTTGTAAATACTAAAATAGGGATTAGAACAATCAGAGAAGGCAGTTTTTCCTACTATGATAAATAATGAGATAAGGTAAGCAATGAATTTGAGATATTCTAATCTAGATTATGAAACAACCCTGAATGGCTGTACCCCCTCCTCACTCTAATCTATCTCCTCAACTAAAAATTAACTGGCATAACAATAGTCACACAGCTCCACGCAATAGAATCCACCACAGTGACAGGATAAAAAAACGGGGGCAAAAGAGGAAGAAATAAAAGCACATCCAAGCATTGCAACAAGAATTAACCTGACTCCATGGACAGGTCTGATCTTGGAAGTGATGATATCTGATTCTGTGCACTAGAGATTTGACGCAGCAACCGGTAGCTGAACTCCTACAAATGCACAGCATCTAAGTTCCAGAAAAAGGAAAGCAAAGAAAGCCATTCCATAAGCCATTCTTAGAAGCAAAGTTCAGAAAGCTAGCTGTATCAAACCTGAGTTTCTTGCATCACGTTTTAATACAAAAAAAAAAATGTAATTGCATAAACAGGTCAGTCTTAACATCAACCATGTTGAATAAGGTTAGGAGACAGCCAACCAGAAAGGAAATCCTGAGAAGAGTATATTGATATCCAAAATAGCTTGATAATCAACATAATAGCAAAAATTCAAGCGTCAGCTCATACAAGATTCCAATAGGTTCCAGACAATAGCAATGTGCATCAGTCAATAATTTACAGTGAGACAAACCGCTAAATCCATTCTACACTACTAACCTTCAAAGACAATGAGACAAAAGTAGACGGTTAAGAGTCAAAAGCTTGCAAGGCTAGACCTAACTCATGGTCAAATGCTAGGCGAATCTAATAGATCTCTAATGCAGTAAATTAGGATAAAATAGTTTTGGACAAAATGTCCAAAGCAATTTATACCAGTCTTTTCTTCTTGGCCATTTCAGAATTCAAATGGTCAAGTATGATAAGATCATCACCATCATCTTCCAAAATTACGTCTTTATTCTTGCACTTTGTATCATTGCCACATGAAGGATGAGAAACAGAGGAATTTGAAAGCTCAGAAAAGTTTCTTTTCTTGGATACTGCATTGACTTCAGTTTCCCCAATTTCTGCAATCTCTAAAGGCACCGCTTGATCAGTACCTGTACCTGATGTGCTCTCACCATTCTGAGCAGAAGTTTTATTTTCTGTATCAGTTGGGACTTGCAACCAGCCAATGAGAACCATACCATCAGGCTCTTTTTCCTCATCAAAATCCTCCCTGCACAAAATGTAAAAAAAATGAATGGCATTACAGGCAATTTAGGAGTACTTGGCTCCAGAAATATAACAAGGAAATATCCATCTTATTTCTTATGTTTATACAGTGAGACGTTTCTAATGAAAATAGCTCAAACTTAAAAATGACATTTAAAATCGGAAAGGAACTCATAGTGAAATCAAACATGATCATAAGTTAACAACGAGAAATAGATGTATCAGTGACATAATAAGGAAACCAGCTAGCTGAGGAGAAAGTAAGCATGATGATTGGTTTACTACAGCAAGAAACAGAGGAGATGAAGGAGGAAAAGACGTCATCCCAAATCCCACATTCACAAGTTCCAATTGTCTCTTTTCCATCACAAACACCATCATAAACATTACCACTGTACATATCAAGCCCCATACTCTCACCTAACAGAGCCATACTCCCACAGTCCCACTGGCCCTGAATACTGATAACATTAGGATAACTCTTATAGAAGAGTGCAATTTATTAAAACGTGCTTCGTCACAAGGCTAGTATATCAATAACACTAACATCATCTATACATATTATATAGCACACTTATCTAGGAACATAAATTATTTACAGCAATCATGTTACTGAGACGTATATATATATATATATATATATATATATATATATATATATATATATATATATATATATATATAAATATACACTAAAATAAAAATAAAATAAAATAAAATAAAATAAATAAAAAAAAGAATCGCAAGTTCAGATGTGTCTATCACCAATACCTGAGGAGAAAAGACAAATTTTATAAGGTAACCTACATATTCAGCAGCTCTATTTGGTAGACCAAAAATCATTGAATTCATACGGCAAACCTGTGACTTAAAGCCGTACACCTGATTGAATTATTTTCAGGCATTGACAGGTCTACCCTTTTTTGAATCATAATCTATAGCAAATACCCCGCCCTCTGAATCCCTCCCATATGGTTGTTATCTGTGAAGGACTTGAACCAAAAGAGCACCAGAACAACCATTTGTAAATCCCCCCCCCCTCCAAAAAAACACACACACACACACACTATGTCCCCCATGTTTCCAGAAATTGAGTTGTTTTCTCGGTTTGGGTTAGCCTTTGGGAGTAAAACAAGCCAATCAAAAGCCCGTGCATATCCTTCATTTCAGTTAATCATCATCATTAAATTTGTCCACACTATCTCAAGTATAAAAGCTTTCCAAGTACAATAGCATGTATGTAAATGTTGGACATAACAAATATAAACAAGTGAAAACCTTTGCTTTATGTTGATTTCACAGGACAATTGCTGGTGAAAATCCTCAACTGTGACGAGTGTACCACCAATGACTGGAGATGGAAGCTTGGAAAGCACCTGGAGGAAGCCAAAGTATGAGAGTCTCAAACACCACAATATAAATGTTGATAAAGCTCAAACAGATAAGAGGAGCAACCACCTTCTCAAGATTTGCTTCATAATTCCGTATCTCGTCTTCATCAAGATCGTCACCAATCTCATATAACAAGGAAGTACCTTGCATTACTATAGGCAGGTTCATGCCCAACTTTGCTCGGACAATTTTCTCAATAAAATCCCGAAACTTTGTGCGTGAAGCATTAACCTCAAGTGTCAATGGGGTCTACAGAAATAGAATTATGACAAAGAGGGAAAAGTCATTAGAGGAACTCCAACAGCAGAGCAAGTTAAGTAGACAAGGACCAAAACCATTACCGTAGAACAGACGAAGCATGATTTGTTAGGCTCAAATGGCTCAACAGGCATAAGAAGCATCTTTCTTTTTGGATGCTCATTACAGAAAGTCATCCTGGGTTTAAATTTCAGAAAAAACAAATAAATACATAATAAAAACCAAGTTCACAACTAAATACAGAGTCCATCACTTATGTAAGCTATATGCAATTTAAATAAATCACAGCAAATTAAAATAAATGTGGCAACTACAATTGAGAGGCATCCAGCTCAAAGCTCAAGCACTTCACAGATCTTCACTTTAAAAAGATAAAAATTGAGGGATTTAGTTTAAAAAAAACCACAATAATCTGATAAATTATAGCAGAGATAGGCACACAATGAAAGTGAAGAGGGGATGTAGAGAGACAAGGAGAAAATAATAAAGCTTAACTGAAACAAAACATGAAATTTGTTGTGGAATTTCACATATCACATCATAGAAAAGTGTTATCCAAATTCTGATTTTCAACCTTCTAAAATAAAATAGAAAGTTTTGATGTTAAAAGACAATAGATACCAAAGGATTCAGGACCAACCTCACATTTTCCAAGTCCTTATTAAGCAGCTTAATGGCCTCAATAACAATCAACCCAGCAACTACAGCATTTGTTGTAGCCACTGCATGTACAATATTGCCAGCAATGCCTTTTGCTTCAAAGAGGCTATGCATAGGAATACCAAAAGAGGTAGCCCGTATATTTGCAGCAGCAGTGACAAACTCAACAGCTAACTGATCATCTTTATCAAAAGCCAGGCTTCCAATTTCCTGTTTAGAGCAATAACAGTAAAGTAAATTAATACCCCAAAGCCAATCAGAATCATAGGCTGATCAAAATGGCAGCTAGGGAGGGAGCGAAACCTTCTCTCTTTTCGAGAAAAATAGTTTTAAAGCTTCCAAAAAAACATTAGAGTTCTCTGCCAGGTTCCACACGTCTTGCGGATTCTTCAGCCCAAGTGTTGCCATTGCTGAGACTGAAGCTAGATCACCACTGGAACAACTTTGATCCAAGTTTCCATTTTGCTGGTTATCAGATAGAACATCTCTAGAATATATTGGCTTAGGCCTGGTGCGATTTTTCCAAGTCTCGTCATTAGACAAAGCTAATTCAATGTTGTAGCCAAAAACATGATCGTATATTCTCCTTCCATAACAATCAGTATCTTCATCATTCCTACGCTCAAATATGTCATCGGTGTGTTCGGAGGAGCTTGCACCGTCACTTGAACGTACATTGAGATCATTATCCTGATTCTTATCACCAAACAACTTGGCGAAGAGCAAATCCTTGGCCCAAACAATACAGTGAACAAACTGCAAGCCAAAGCACAGAATTATATCACCAATACAAAGTCGTGTGAGGTGAAGGCAATACAAAAGCATCATTTGGTGGTTAAGAAGCATATAACTACCTTTGACGGTGTATTAGTAATAGTACAAACAGGATATGATTTCGGAGCGGGCTTAGGATAGCATTCATAGCATTCAGTTCTGTCCTTCACATGCACAGCTACCTGATTTTCCCGCCACAAAAAACAAAAAACAAATGAGAGAAAATATTCAGATGATGCATTTACCTAAGCCGTTGCACTAACATAAAATTATTGATGAGTAGAAGAAAATTGTAGTTTGTGGAAAGGAATCAAGATAACCAATCTAGCTCTAGGACATACTTCTTTGCATTAAGGGTAGCTCCTGTCTGCAGTCTAGTTTAAAAACCATCATCATTATTCAAAACCTAAACCAGGCAGTGAGGGAAGCTACTATGCAGTATAAAATTCTGACGAAGGTCACACTTTCCCTTACCAAAACTTGAAAACTCAAAAACCAAACTCAAGGGGAAAATTCATTTTCTACAACCACCTTTTTCCCCTGTGTAAGGATATTATATGTCAAACATGATCTCTCCTTTCTAAAATCTCTTTAAATAAATCTAACCACCATTCATACCCTTTTTTAGTTGATGGTAACAAAACAGTCTCAGATTTTTAAGTATGTTAAGTGACCTATTGTTTAAAATTTATAGTTTCCATATTGTACTTTGTTAAAAGTTTCCAACTTTCTGCATGTCTTCGTTTATATTGTTTCTACAATTCCTTTTTCCATGCGCATATGCTACTCATTTACCAAGGCAAGGCTGTTAGCGATCAAGCCTCATGCCACGTTAAGCCTGATAACCAAGATTGAGGTCAGTGATATAGCCATTCTACAAAAGCAGGCTTTAAGCAACGTTTGAGAGGGAGGGGGGTAATATAAACAATAATTATAAAAATAAAAAAACAAAAACATAAAAATGGATGCCAACCTCATTTTAATGTACTTGTTACAATTTTATTAAGCAGAGAAAAAATTACCTGTCCCAAGAACCCAGTAGTCCCACTCTCTACCAGTGGGACACCAGCTGCCAAGCGGATGCGGTTTACATGTCGCCTAGCATCCAGATTATCAAGACCATTCAAAATGACATCAAACTGCTTAAAAAAGTCCACATTAAATTCAGAGCTCTTAATATTAGCATGGTGGGCAGTAATACTTATATGAGGCCTGAACTTCAATACAGCATCTCGAGCAACCTGGAAGAGTTTTAGTAAGATAGATTAATTACCCAGCCAGTCATCCATAAACCACTATGCTAAGCGGATACATACCTTTGCCTTCGATTGTCCCACATGGGACTGTCGAAACAAAAACTGCCTGTTCAAATTGCTAACTTCTATTGTGTCCATGTCAATCTGCAAATGGAAATGAGCATGTGATGAAATCTCTAGCCACTGAATAAATTTTACCATTAAAAGAACACATAATAATATTTTTAGCTTACTTCTACCCTTTTTCTCCAACGGGAAATGGGGACAGAGATGACAAAACACGGCAGCAAAAAGAACATAAATTATAAGATATACAGCAATAAAATAAAATAAAAAGAGGAAGTTATAGCCAAAAGCAAGCATAGTAAAAGCAGTTCATATCTCTATGATGAATTATACCATCACAAAACGCGGTTCAAGTTCAAGATGTGTTGCCTATACTGAGTTTAAAAATAGTAAATGCAAACCAAAGACAGGTACATCCATACAAGATAGATATGTTCGAGAAATCTAGCAGAATCAATCGACTGCTACACATGATATAACAACACTGTAATTTACTGAAATAAACCTCAAACAATGTGTTGTTAAGCCCATGACCCCTCACATATGTCATATAGGAAACCATCACCAAAGTACTATCTTCAGTCCTATATCTCTCAAGTACACATGAAATTTGGGGGCTCCAAATTAGATGAAACCACGAATGTATTCTGAGAAATTACCTAATCTTAACATCAGAACACTTGGGTGCACATTCAAACAACAGCACAGCCAGCTAAGTACATAGACAGAAAGCACCTCATGATACTAAGCATCACAGTTTAAAATCAAGATTGACTTGAATTGCTCGTGTCACCAGGATTGACACTATTGTCTATGGTACTTCTGAAAGCAACACATAAACATTCTCTATCCCAAAAAGGCGAAAAGGTCTCAAATTCAACTTATCTACTCATAACGAAACTTTAACAGCCAATGTAGAAAGAAATCACTTGAATGATACTTCATTCAACTATAATTATGACATGCAATTTAGAGAAACAGCATAATATGGCTGTTAAGCCTTATAAAGCTTAAATTGGCTAATTCTTCACACAAAATTGACTAATTAGCCAAGCAAAATGCGCCCATCCGAACATAATTAATTTTATACCATTTTTCGCGCATAATTAATTAATTTTACCTATTACAACAATTGAACTTCACACAACCTAAAACCCTTAAAACTTCAACACTAAATTAAACCCTAGGTGCCAGAAAATAACAATACTTTCAAAAAATTATAAAATTGAGGAAAATGATGAAGAAATCTCACAATATGTATGTCTTGGAAGCCAGAAAGAGCGAGGGTTTTGAGCAGTTCACAGCCAATACCACCAGCACCAACCATAAGAACTTTCGCACCCTAATTTTCCACCAAAAAAAAACAAAATCAAAATCAAATTCAATGATATACTTCACAGCAAAATCAATCGAAACAGTAAACCCTTAAATTCCAAAAAAAAAAAAAAAAAAAAGCAAAAAATTAGGGCATGCCATGCAAAAACTGCAGAGAAATTTACCTTAATGGCGTTCAACTGTTGCTGAGAAGCCATTGAAAGAGAGAGAAAGATGGGAATTTTGAAGTAAAATTAGGGATTTCAGAATTTCTGGGGATTAAATTGAGAGCGAAAATTGAGGGTTTAGTGAAATTTTTGGGGGGAATCTAAAAGAGGTTGATTTTGCGAGATTTTGCCCCAAAAAACACTCACTCTCTCTCTCTTAAGTTTTCTCTCTCTTGCTCTTGAGTAAACGAGGGAGTGGCGGGCGCCAAGAAGGCAAGAACTAAGAGAGTGTATTTTTTCACCAAGTGAGTAGAGAAGTCAAAGCGACAGAAAAAAGGCTATTTATTGATCTAGATCTCGCAACTATTCCAAGCAAAAAAAAAAAAAAAAAAAAAGATTCGTTGATGGGATGGTTTGAAAATAGAAATTAGGTTACCACCGAATCTTTGATAATTGCATGAAAAAACATATTGACGTGTGATCTTGTTAAATACGACGGATTGGTCATTAATATGTAAAATATGTTGTTGAAGGAACTTATGGTGGTTTTTCGCAATTTGTAGTGCTGGGGCTTGCTTCATCTAGCTTGGTCTCATTCGTCGCCAAAAATATGTCAATCTTGTCTTTGATTTGTTATCGTCACTCTTGTAAGTTAGTTGATCTTCATATTAGTGTTGAAGTAGTGATGAAAATATCAACATTTTAAACGAGTATATCTAAAAGTAAGGACAAGTTAAATACAAAGTATATGTAAATGGTCACCAAGCACCTGAAAGAGATAACATAATTTCTTATATGTGGCATGACCACTTCACATATTAGGTAATAAATTTAATATTGTATTATGGGTTTCACGTATGTGAGATTACATATAAAAGTAAGGACGTGTTGAATACGAAGTATATATAATACTCTGTATATAAGTGTTCACCAAGCACCTCAGTGATAAATACACACACAAATTCTTACATATGGCGTGGTCACTTCACATATTAGGTAATTTAATTTAATATTAGGTGTTTCACATATGTGAAGTTACATCAATACAAAAATGGGATTACGCTTTTGAATATCTGGAATTATTCTTTCATTAATTAAAACAAAAGAATAAGGGTACTCGAATAACATATGAAGTTACTTTTTAAAAAAATTACTTTATAAAACTCATTTACTCCATATAATGAATTTGGGTTATGTTTATGGACAAAATGAGTTACTCTAATAAATAAGGTAGCTTGTACAAATTAATAATCATTCTTATAAACCACTGTGGTCAGCTGCTAGTCATTCTAAAAGCTAGAAAAATTGTCAAAAATAGCACGACCCTTGGTTAGTATTCTAACAACAAAACATATTGTAAGTTTCAATTATTCCAAAATAAAATGACATTTGACAATACTTTGTTTTAAAAAACGGTTAATTTATTACACAAGTTCAACTGGATACGTGTCACATTATGATTGATTAAAATTTTGGAAAAGGAGAAAAAACACTCCCACCATAATTGCCCCTTTCCACTCCAACCATCTATCATCACCTAATCCTACTTTCCTCTATCCCCATCTCAACCTTGCTTTCCCTAACCCAGTGCCTAGCCTCTTTTCTCAGTCCCTTTGCCTTGTCGGTTGGTGCGGAAGTTTTTTGACGGTGAAGATGTTTTTGCCTTGTCGGTTGGTGCAGAACTTTTTTGATGGTGGATATGTAAGGGGTTTCAAGGGGGGTATGGTAGGGATTTTGGGTCTGGTGGAGGCTAGGTGAGGGTGTGGTAAGGTTTTGAGCTAATGGAGGGTTGTGGATTTTCAAGTTGGTGATAACCGGAGGTGGGGTCAGTGAAGAGGTACGGTGAGGCTAATGGGTAGGGTGGTTTTGATTAACATTGCACATGTGTCACACTTTTTAAACATGATGCGAATTAGTCACGTTTAATTCTGCATAGATGTTTATTAAAAGGCGTTTTTATTTTTGAATGATCAGCCAAAGGTCATATTTCTCTTGATATTTTTTTCCGAAATTCTTTCACTTTTTTTCATGCCACAAAACATACAATTACTCCTCTTTCCCCATACAAAAGTAAGCATCGAACAAATTCTTATATGGTATGACCCCACACCCAAAAAAAATTGTGAGTTGTCGTTGTTTTTTTTCACTGACCTTTTATGACGTGATAATCTAAACTGAATCACATGTTTAAATGAATTCGTTTCGTAAAGGTAATAAAGTAAACACAAAATAAGGCATGTTAACTATTATTAATATAAGTATATTTTTTTCTTCGGTCTATTATAGTTAACATTCAAAGTATTTAATGCTAAAATACGTACTTCATAAATTTTTATTGTCTATATGCAATAACGCAACTGAGTCATTTATAGTACTCAAAAACCTATAGTACATAATCTTCACTTGAACTTATTGAACTTGATTGGTGCTAATCAACCCTATGTTGAGTAATTTCACTATATTTTTACGTGATTAAACTTGATCAGTCATAAATAGACCACAAGTTTATATCACACTCTATAATTCTTACTCCCTCTTTTACTTTTTTACGGTTACATTTGGTTTATTGCGTAGGTATAAGAAAAAAAATACGGGGAATATGTAAAATGAGAATATTTGTTTTGGGAATAACTAAATATTTTGGTAAATGCAAATAGTTACTTTGGGAAAATATAAATATTTTAGTAAATGAAAATAGTTGCATTGAAAGTTGGTAATATGAGATTGTGAGGGTAAGTGTATTAGGAGTGAAAATGAAGGGGTAAATGTGTAAAATTAGTATTCTACATAGTATTCTTGTATAAAAGTCTAAAAATTTACCAATAGAAAGAATTAGCTCAAAATAGAATAGGAACGGAGAAGGTAACAACAAACAAAATATGCTAAAACAATATCCAAGGAATACATCTCCAATAGGATGGTTAAAAATTACCTCGGTTTCTCTTTATTAACATCAAAAAGATATTACTGAGTATTTGTGATCATAAAAATTACCAATAGAAAGAATAATAAGAAATGGAGGAATGAGTAGTAAAAAAAAACTAATGGACCAATGGGATTCAGCCACGTGTCAAAAAGCCACATCAGCATTCGCCTTGACACATTTTCCACTACCCCTAGTCCCTCTATTTATCTCTCTTTTTTACTTCTCCTTTATTTCTCTCTCCTCACTGCACACAACGCCAGTCCCAAGGGCACTCCTCAGCTCTTCACCTTCCGCCACCCCTCCAAACACCGCGTTTCGATCACCCAACACCACCCGACGACGTCGTTTCTTCAATGTGAGTCCTCTATTCTCTCTTCTCCTCTTCTATGGCTTCTGATTTCCGATTCTAGGGTTTATAATTTCTCAAAATTTCCCCTCTTTTTAGTGATCATCTGGAAAATCAACTAGTTTTGCTAGTGCTGTCATTTTTTTTTTTTGACAATATTTTTTTATTTTTATTTTACAACATTAATTTGTGTATTGTTTCCTAATTTTTTTTAGAGGATTAAAACATGAAGCGTGGAGCTGCTGAAGTCTGTACAGGTTATTTCATTCCCATTTTTCGCATGTTTTTTTTTTTTTTGTTTCTTTTGTTAAATTTATAGTCCTCAATTTGTGTTTGATTTTCCTATTTAATATTGGTTTTATTTTTTGTCTGGGTTTTCATGAAATAATTATCTGTTAAATTTATCTGGGTTTTCATGAATTTTTTATAATGGAGGAAGTGGCCAAGTGGGTAATTCATGAAATATTGAAAATTCTTTTTATTTTTATTTTTTACATAACATTTTTCGGGGTTTTGGGAATTGACAAGGCTCCATACTCCATAGATCATCAGTCAAAGCGTTATAAATAGTTATTTTTGGTGAAATTTCATGAGTATGTTTCATGCTTTTGTGTTGTTTGATGAATATATACGAATATACATGAGTTTGATGAATATTAAGGCTATTTACCTAAGTTATTGTGAATACAATTTTCTCAAATGATTTTGCGGACGAAAAGAGGTTTTAGTACATAGTACAAGTTTTTGTATTGATACAGATTTATTAACTAAGGAAATTTTTGGGAAGATCTGATTGATTTATTGTGATGAATGTAAAAGCATATTTTCTCAAATTGGTATGAATCTCCATTCTAATTAGACTCAAAAGGTGTTATTTATTCGTAGAACCCCATATTATCATTATTTAAACGTATAGTTGATTTGATGTAAATTGTAATGGATCATTTGAGCGTTTTTGAGATTTGTCTGTGTATTTTCTAGTTCTGTGATTGATGAGCTGATATGTTTATGTTAGTCTTTCATAATTTTCGAAACTTCCAGCTTGTATTGTTAGTGCTTCTATAAGTTAATGGATATTCCTTGGATGAAACAGATAACTATGCTGCGAGTAGTAAGAAACTGAAGTTTTCTCATGGAGGAGGAGAAAAACCCACACTGTTTGATTATTCTGATCCATTCACAATTCCAGAACTACTAGATAGCATCAGCTGGGGTAAATATGGAAGTGTTACGAAAGATGTTGAAGCATTGGTTGCGCGAAAGGTTCAGGTTTTTAATTCTCTGTTTACAACAAATCCCGAATTCGAATTTTCATCACCGTATGCAAAATACGATGTAAAAGGAGAAGTGGTTACGGATATTGTTGATTTGGATAGTCTTGAGAGAAAGTGCATCACTCCAAGATCTGAACCCTTGTTGATAATTGAGTCAGATGATGAGGAAGATGTTGACCGAAAAAACTTCCTTCACTTTCAAGAGATTGCCTTACCCAGGCCTCCACCGACTAACATTGAACTCCATGCAGAGACCTTGCGGGTTAGATTTTTATATCTCTCTTTGTCCAAGGCTTATATTAAACTTCTCTTTATAATTTGCAATATATTTATTGAATTACCCTTTGTATCACTAATTGCTGATTATTTGTTCTGCCAAGTCTTTTTGGGGATTTCTTCGGTTCTTCCCATGTCAAACCAATTCTTTTTTTTTCAATCTCAAGTTTGCCATATTGTTTTATCACTTGTGCACTGTTTTGTAAAATGCTCTTTAATTGTTTTCAGTCCTTCATATTGTCAATAGAGATTGTCCTGTCAAATGTTATAGTAGCAGTCTTTTGAATTGCAAGTTTGCTACTGCAACTTTAGTGAAAAAAATTTATCATTGATAAGATTGCATCTTGTTTGACGTGTGATTAATGAAGCCGTGTTTTGTGTGAATAAAACTGATAAAAGTGAAATTTAATGGAACAGACTATTGTTCAATCTATTAATGTTCTGCACTTTCAAAGGAAACGGCAGGAGTTAAGCTTTGGTGAAGGTCTTTAGCTGAGAATTAACCGCTTATTATCGTCATTACATATTCTTGTCTGGCA